ATGATACATGCGATGCTTAACGACCCAAACCAGCCAGAAGACTTGGCCAACACCACCTGGGTTGAGGAGGTAAAAGACGAGCCAGTGAGGAAGTAAGCGATTCAGTTGCGCCAGCCAGGACTTCAGTTTCTACTCTACATGTACGTCCTATCACGCATTCAAATATACCAGTGTTGCCGTCCATACCTATAGAAATGCAAGGAGAATTGCACAGTAAAGATGGCATAGAAGGGGATTTCTGCCATCCATTGGACAATGAACCCTTAGGATCCTCGGATCCGACAGACAAGCTGGGGCCATACCGGTGCAAGGTGGCTCCTGATATCTATGGAACCTTGAGTCCAGGTGAGGTGAGGGAAGAGGCCAACAGCAGTACTCGAGGCCCAGTGGACCCAGTGCTGAACTGTTTTAAAGCAGAAGAGAGACCCCCAGCTTCGCTGAATCTAGGTGTACAGGGGATTACCACTGCCCATATTGGCAACGAACCCCAAGCCCAAGCCAGTGGGAAACCCGGTAAGCCAATCAATGAAAAGTCTGGAGTAACGTGGAATGCAGATGTGGCAGAGAAATAGCATTCATGATGCGTGACTGCCTCAACAAAGGTCAACCCTTGCAACAATCTGAAGAGCGACCAAATCCTGCCCCAGGGCCCATTGCGGCCTGGTGACCAAATGCCATTGCAAGGAATGCCACATCATTCTGTTACCGTAGAAGAAATCCTGGATAAAGACGATGACTACAGCTATCTACACCCCAAGGAAGCCTACGCTGAGGAGAAGACTCGAGCCCAGATCGTGGAGTACCCTCGGCGTACTGGCACCAAATGTCCACAGGCTTACCACCCTCACCAGGACAGACCAGAATGGGTAAGGAAAGGGATGAAACATGCATGCACCCTAATGGAGCAGAAGGAGATACTCTGCAGGTGGGTACACCTGGCAAAAGTGAAGGATGTAGTGGCCAAAACCATATGGAGGCTGACAGAAGAGGATGGAGAGAGCAAGGAGCAAGTGGAACAAAAGATAGAGGAGCTAGAGGAGCTGAGGGTTCCCCCACAATACATACGAGGAGGTAAGGGGTGCAGCATAACCATTGCGCTACAACTTGGAATGTGGAATAGCAGAGGCCCATACCAGGTGACTGCATTAGTCGACAGTGGATGCACCAGAAGCACCATAGATTGAGGATGGGCTACAAAGCATGGCCTCAACCTGCAGCATACCAATCACCCCATACCAGTCTACAATGTGGACGGCACCCGAAACAAGGGCGGGGACATTATGGAATACATCAAAGTCAGACTAACTATCGGGGATCAGGAAGAGCAGATCGAACTAGCCATCGTAGACCTCGGGACTACCCCTGTTTTCCTTGGATATGACTGGCTGCAGCGGCACAACCCCATAATCAACTGGGCCACTGGGGCCATGACCCTAGCACGTTGCAACTGCAGACCCATACCATTCAGACTTCCAGATGAGGACCCTTTGCGATGGACAGAATATGAGGAAGGCGACCGAATACTGGTGGTAGACATGGGACGAGAAGTGCACCTACAAGCCATGGGGACATTGTCTAATGACCTAGCTGCCCAAGCAAACAAGGGAAAGCCAAGTCGGACTTTCAAAGAAATCGTACCAAAGGAGTATCAGGACTACTACGATGTTTTCACAAAAGAGAACTTTGATGACCTTTCCCCCTCAAAACCTTGGGATCATGCCATCAAACTAGTCCCTAACACGAAAGCCAGCCTAGACTGCAAGGTATACCCCCTAAACCCCCAGGAGCAGAAGGAACTTGATGCATTCCTAGACAAGAATCTCCAGAGCGGGAGGATCCAACCCTCTAAATCACCTATGGCCTCCCCATTCTTCTTCGTAAAAAAGAAAGACGGAAAACTACGGCCAGTTCAGGACTACCGAAAGCTCAACGAGATGACGATTAAAAATCGCTATCTGCTGCCTCTGATCGGTGAACTCATGGACAAACTCCAAGGAGCTCGGTACTTCACCAAGTTAGACGTTCAGTGAGGATACAACAACATTAGGATACAAGAGGGAGATGAATGGAAGGCCACATTCCATATGAACCAAGGACTCTTCAAACCCCTGGTAATGTTTTTCGGACTTACCAACTCGCCGGCCACCTTCCAATGGATGATGAATGACATCTTCAAAGATCTCATCGCAGAAGGAAAAGTCACCATATACCTCGATGACATCCTAATCTTCACCTGAACCCTTGCCGAACACCGACAAGTGACAAGGCAAGTACTCCAATGGCTGTGCGAGCACAAGCTATTCCTAAAAGCCCTGAAATGTGAGTTTGAAGCACTAGAGGTGGAATACCTAGGAGTTATCATTAGCGAGGGGAGTGTCCGCATAGACCCAGTCAAAATTGCCGGGATCCTGGAATGGCCAGAACTGACCAAGAAACAGGAACTGCAGTCCTTTCTTGGGTTCACCAATTTTTACCGACGGTTCATCGAACACTACAGCGACAAAGTACGTCTGCTGACACAGCTGACAGGGAAGGTACCATGGGAATGGGGAGAGGCACAGCAAGCAGCATTTCATGCCATTAAACAATGCTTCCTAGAAGGAGTGGTGTTGGGAATGGCCAACGTCACTAAACCGTTTCAGATGGAAGCCGATTCCAGTGATGGGGCGGTGGGAGCAGTACTGTCCTAGGAAGACAAGGAAGGGCACTGGAGACCGCTGGCATTTCTCTCTAAAGCACTCACAACCATGGAACATAACTACGAGATATATGACAAGGAACTCCTGGCTATCATGCTAGCCCTATCCAAATGGCGACACTATCTACTCAGGGCTCAACTTGATTTTGAGATTTGGAGCGATCACCAAAATCTCCAGTACTTCTGAAAGCCCCAAAAACTCAACCGCAGACAGGCGAGGTGGGTTATGGAGCTCGCAGAATACCATTTCACTCTCCACCACAAACCAGGAATGGCCAATAAGAAGGCCGATCTCCTCAGCCAGAGAGTGGACCATGCACAGGGAAAGGATGACAATCAGGACATAGTCGTACTCACCCCGGAACATTTCCGTGCCCTACCAATGCCATTGGAGGAAGACATTCATCGAAGAATCCGGTGGGCCACCCTTGACCCCTGCAACTGGGATCAGGGAATTGCCACAGCCCTCAATCATGACAAGGGAATAGTCAAGCAGGAGGGGCTCCTACTCCATGACAACCGCATCTATATCCCTCGGGATTTTATGTTGCATGGGGAAGTGATTGCCTGACATTATGACCATCGCCTAGCAGGACACCCAGGTATCGAGAAGATGAAAGAACTAGTGTTACAGGAGTACTGGTGGCCGAAACTACAGAACGATATAGAAGCCTACATGCGAGGCTGCGAAACCTGCCAATGTATCAAAACCTCCACTCAAGCCAAAAACGCCCCCCTATACCCAAACGAGGTCCCTGACAGACCTTGGGACATCATCACTGTGGACCTGATCATGGATTTACCCAAGTCTGATGGCCACGATGCAATCCTCAATATTGTGGACCGATGTTCTAAAACCCTGATCCCGGTGCCATGCTCAAAAGAGCTGTCAGCAAAAGGGTGGGCACGAATACTCTGGGATGAAGTCTGCTGCAAATATGGGTGCATCCCCATCAAGATCATTTCGGATCGAGGACCCCAGTTCGTCGCCAAGTTCACTAAAGAACTGTACCGACTCCTTGGAATCAAGGGCAACCCCTCCACCACATATCACCCCCAGACAGACAGACAAACAGAGAGAGCTAATCAAGAGGTGGAGAAATACCTATGGATATTCATCTCCTACTGCCAGAATGATTGGAGTGAATGGCTACCCTTAGCAGCATTCACGCACAATAATCGACAACACTCAGCAACAGGACTCTCCCCATTCAAGGTCACATTCAGAAGGGACGGAGACCTCTTCCCCAATGCATGGCACACCACAGACGTACCAGCCGCCCAGGACTTCATGGATCACATCACCAAGATCCACCTCAATGCTAAGGATGCTCTCCTCAAAGCGGCCGAAATGATGAAACGTGCTTATGACTAACACCGCATGCCCAGTCAACAATACCAAATTGGACAGAAAGTGTGGCTAGGCATGTGGAACTTGCATCTACCCTGACCAAAGAAGAAACTGGATGACAAACGAGTGGAACCTTTCATCATTGTTGCCAAACATGGGACTAGTGCCTATGAGCTCGCCCTACTGCCAGCCTGGAAAGTCCACAATAAGTTCAATGAATCATTACTAACCCCTTTTACTGTGCCTAAATTCCCCAACCAACAACAACCCCCAGCCCCACCCCCTGAACTCATTGACGGGGAAGAGGAATACGAGATCGAGGAACTTTTAGATCACCAGAACCGTTGGACGGGAAGGGGGAGACATCAGAAAGAAGTTACCGACTTCCTAGTCAAGTGGAAGGGTTATGGTCCTGAAGAAAACTCATGGGTCACCCACACAAACCTTGGAAATGTGGAGGAATTACTGGAGGATTACAAAGCTTCAGAGGGCGAGACCATCAATAATGTTGATATCGAGTTTGCCGAAGACTCGGACAATGAGGGTGACGCTGACAAGGAGGACCCTGACTCAGTCAGGACGACTGAGTCTTAAGGAGGGGGTAATGTCATGGACTTCATTTATTTTCTACTACCAAGTACCTTACTGACTCATACACGCTTAGTACTGCGATACACAGACATCACATTAGCACTTCTATTCGGACTAAACTGCCAGCTCATCGTACCATTCACGGACTTATTAGCCACTATTATTAGGATACCCTTCCTGTATTTAAGCAAGCCAGCTGTGGCCTTGAGCCCCAGCTTTGGCTAAGGTCTATATACCTAGTCGTCGACTCCATCTCTTTCCTGCCTAGGCTGTCTAAGTCCACCTCTATAAGACCACTTGTGCCTGCTCATTGTACGCTTGACCAAAGTGTGAGTCACATCACAAGTTTGACCTTGTTTGTCAGACTAGTGGGTTACAGGTATCTGTGGATGCCAACTTTTTGCAGAACTCATCATCCTTGTATTCCACCCAGATGGCATCCAATATGGCACTGTCCATAGTGATTTGAAGCATGGTGGCAGCAGGTGCAGTCTTTGCCCAGGAGGACCAAGGTTGAGTCACAGGCAAATCAAGGTCAAGATCTGTTGAAGAATCAGGTTCGTCATCAGGAGGTAGTCGTGACAAGGTGTCAGCTGCTGTATTATCTTTGCCATGGATGTAGTTGATTGTAAATTCAAACTGAGAGAGAAACTCATTCCAGTGAGCTTGTCTTCTTGAAAGGTCTTTCTGTGTGGCAAAGTTCTCAAGGGTATGATGATCAGTGTATACAACAAAGTGCATGCCTAATAAATCAGCACGTCATTTCTTCAATGCATGGACTATAGCTAGTAATTCCTTTTCATGAACAGGATAATTTTTTTGAGCACCTTTCAGTTGCATTGAGTCAAAAGCCACCAGTCTTGCTGTTTCCCAGATGGGGCCATAGGAAAGAACTGCACCTGTTCTCCAGTCACTTGCATCACATATCACAAAAATCTTATTCTCACCAGGATTGTTGTGGTCAATGACCGTGAGGCAGTCAGATGATAGCACTAGGGCTTTTATGGCATGGATCATGTAGTTTGAGTTTAACCCAGAATTTGAATGAGGAAGGAGTGGAGGATGCAGAAGAGAATGTGTTTGAGACTTGCATGACATTAGGTAGCAGTTGGAAGTGAAGTTGAAGATCCTTTGCTAATTGTTCATGGATTATAACTATGTGAGAGCCATGGTCAATCAATGTGCTCACTGTGACGAGAGAAAGGAGAGGCCAGATCATCGATGGCACAATGCCAAAAGAGATGAGGTAGTAAAAAGGGGACAGAAGTAGAGGTAGTAGGCACAGAAGGAGAAGAGACAGCAGCAACAGGCGAAGTACTCACAAATCTAGAGTCATTTGAGTCCAGGGATGCCTCATTAAGTGTGAACCATGCATCAAGCATTGACTGTTTCAGGTCGTTTGGTGGGAGGCATGCTGCTGTGGGTGCAGGAAGGTCAGCTGTAGCAGTCACAGCAGCTGCCACAGCAGGCTGAGGGTATAAGGGGGGGTAGGTATGAGAGTGTACAATTTGTGGTGCAGGTGGTGCCACATTGTATTGTGGGGGAGCAGAGACATAGGTAGCAGTGATGGGAGGGTTTGGTTGTGCAAATTTGAGGGGATGGTTCATAGGTAATGCATTATGAGCATTGTCCACATCAGCCTGAGTGAGAGTGTGATAGCTGACTGGGGAAGGGAAACCGTTAGGACAATCCTTTTTGTCATAATTGATAAAGAACTGCCAGCATTTTGTACATCCAAAGTAAAGACAGAGTAACGCACATTCCGTCTCAGTGATTTGAGGAAGCCTTGGACAGCCAGAGTAAGAAGGAATTGGTGCAGGATTGGAAGAAGATGATTGGGCTGGGTTTGATCCTGAGTGAGACACATCTGTAAGCCCTGCTGCAGATGCAGACCTCTTTTTGTCATTGTTGAGGATCTTCTGTGTGGCTTCTTCTACTTCAAGTTGATGGGCTTCCCTTTCACAGGTACGTTTTTTATCGGTGATGACAACAAGATCGACCCAAAGATCAAGGTCTTTTTCAGCAGAGATCTTCTCATTTTTGTCCACTTTAGAACATAGGAGGGGGTCCATAGCAAGCTTGAGTTGAGTGCGTAGTTGGCTGTCATCGAGGTGATAGGTAGAACTGGTAAGGGTGCTATTATCATTGATCATCGTGTTCACAAGGTTGGCAAAGGAACCAGTGCCTTGTTTCAGGGAGAGCAGGTGGCCTTGTCAGGCTTTCTGCCAGGTGGAGGGCAACCATTTCAACATACACTTGGAGAGGAATTCCTTGAAAGATAGCTTGTTGAGCTTGACATGATTGGCCTGGTACCATAGTGCTACACAGCGGGACTTGATACCACCAGCGACATTGGTGACATAGTTCTCAGCCTTCAAGGTCTCCTTGTTGGTGAAGTAGGTGTGACAGCATGTTGTCCAGTCAAGCCAATGGTCCTCATTAGGCATTTTCTTGCCAGCAAGCATCATGGGTACCTTTTCAGGCATGGTCTGCACAACCTCTGGGTATATGCATGTGTTGGGCATGGAAATAGTCATAGAAGACATAGTAAAGAGAAAGATATCGTTGATGGAGGAGTCTGGAGAGGCGTTGGGAGAGGAAGGGGAATCAGGAGTGGTCACAGGAGCAAGGATGATGTGAGGATTGGGTGGAGGTGGGGAAATCACATGGAAGGCACAACATTGAGTTGAAAGGGCAGGGACATGACAGCCAGGAAGAGGGGTGACAGTGGTTGATGACAGTTCCTGCGGCAAGGAAATCAGTCAGTTAATTTGCTTATGGCAAAGCAAGGTAGAAGGAGAGCTCATGGCAGAGCATTGTTATGATGGACAAAAGGTGGGCTCGCATTGGAGTGTTTTACATCATGTTGGATGGAGAAGAGACACGCTCATCATCGCATTGGACAGTCAAGACGTATTTGTCACTATGGAGGGCAATGAAGGTCGAACTGTAAAAAAAAGTGGAAACCTGTCGAGGACAGGAAACACTAAACTCACGAAAGGCAACGAATATGGTGAACAACATGTATTGGAGAGAATGGTAGACATCTACATGAGGGAGAGGAAGAAAGAAAGAAAAAGTCGGTCCTCTAACTATGGGAGTGAGTATTTATATGAGCAGAAGCAGAATCCAGGAAAAAGACGGAAGCAAAAGTGGTCCAAAAGTAGTGCGTCATCACAGTGTAAGTACATCATAGCTGGGGACAGGCTTACAGTATTGGGTGATTCCATAGCATGTGATATCTCCTGATTAATAAGTGCGGGTAATAGACCTGGAGAGACCTTGGCAAGCAAGGTTAGCCTGGTAACCAGGCTTTATGAGAAACTCGCTGGAACTCGTTACTATATATAAAGCCTGGCACCCAGGGCGGGGGTATCGCGGTAGATTTGAAACCCCGACAAGATGCCGGACATGGCAGCATGTGTAATAGGGATGACATATACTAGATACACTTAGGGGATTATCATTTTGTTCACCCCTACCTCTACGAAGACGTCTAAAGACACCATGAGCAATTGTGACAAGTCACCAGAGTCTTTGCGTGATGAAGCTACCTTCGCAGCGGCCTCAACAAATACTTTATGAATGCCATCTAGGGCTTTGCAAATACCCTCCAGAATATAATCATGTAAGTCAGTGAGGGAGACAAGGCCGAACAAGCTGTCGGATGAGTTTCCAACCCTCTAAGATGGACAGGCCTGTCGGGGCTACATTGGGCGATGAGAGCATGCAACGGGGAGGATAAACAGAAGTCGATCAACAAGCCTTCTAGCGCGTTACGCGTTTCGCACGTGGTCGGCAAGTATCGGCATCCTGTCGGGGTTTAAAATCTACACCCACGAGCGATACCCCCGCCCTGGGTGCCAGGCTAAAGCAAGGTAACCAGCAAGGTAATGTTCACATGACATCATAACTGCGTCCTTACAAGTTTACCGTCATGACAGCTTTGAGCAGCCCATCACTTCCCGAGCTAGAGCGCACTGTGTCGGAATTGGAGAACCCGACCTACGCCTTCCTTCGTATTCCAATGCCCCCCGGAATGGCTGTCGACAAACCGCCCAACGAGCGTTTTCTACGGCTTGAAATCCCAGTCACCATTATCAATGCTTCCGCCCGTAGAGGACGCAAGTGGTTGTTATACGTTGCCACTGCCATTGCGGGTACCCATGGGTACTTGCATCAAGACGGGCGAGACCTCCAGCCAGAGGACATGCAACGGTCGGTTGTTGATAACGAAATCTATGATTTTGTGACGGAGGGTAAGTAGGCCTGATTTTCTGCCACGGTTCTACTGATGTGACCTGCAGCTGCGGTCTGTGTTGCTGATGCCCAATGTGGGGATACAAGAACATCAAGCAATGCTGGAGAGAGCCGACTGCACAACAGGGAATCAATTCGTATCCGGGATGGCGGGAGATGTGTCGTCCTAGAGCCTGGGATAATGCTTCGTGCCGGTTCCCGTCATCGGCTTGAAGTTGCTTCTGTAGACTGCCAAGCAGCTCATATCCTTCCACATGCGAAGGGGAGTACAGTACGTGTGCTTATTTCTTTGGTAGATAGCGGCATCAATTTTTTTAGTACCTCGAAGCGGTAGTCCAGGCGCGAGGACTCAACGAGAATGTCAGCCAGTTCGATGGTGGTATAGATGATGAAAAAAATGCTTTGTTCATGGATACACGAATTCATGCAGTTGGGCTGACCGATCAAACCTGCGCCTTCCTTTATGTGAGCCGCCTTACTTGATGCCGCCCTCCTTTCGCTCACTCTCAAATTTTGAGGTTCCAAATTTGTGCATGACTATGGAAGATGTCTTGTATCCGGAGGAGCACCCGCCACCACCTCTTCCTGAGTCCTTACAGCATACAACGGAGCACATCTACCTCCAGTTTCAGATGCTGGCGGAGGGAGCATACATCCGATTAGCAGATTACATGGTGCAAGGACGATTGTGGAACAACAAATTCATTCGAATGCCGGACGACCGTTCTAGCTTCCCTCCTTTCTTCATATGTCATTTCTATTATGGTTGCACCGCCCTTCACTTGTGGCTGGACAAAGACAGTTTGTCCACTCTCAACCGTTATAATCATCAGCGCTACTATCCTCCGCACATCGATGTCAAACAAGAAGAATCCTCTGATGAAGATGAACCTGACCCTTCGGATGACGATAATTATATCCCACCGACGCATGCTCGGAAACACCACAGACTTGAATCAATGACATCGTCTCCTATTCAAGAGTCAACCGATGCCTCAGCATTTCTTGTGAGCTGGCTGTGGAGAGCTAACGGTGTGGCCATGGAAGAGGATGGAGTAGAGGATCCTCAGACAATCATTCGCAAGGAATTCTCATCAGATAAACGTGAATTCGTGGAGAAGTGGTGTCAGGAGTCTTGTTAGGGATTTCCGCATCTATGGAATCCCACGGAATCCTCTGGAAGTCTCCAGTCACTTGAAGCCTTTTCTTTTTCTTTCTATCGTTTTCTGTACCTTCTCTTACTCAGCCTAATGTACTCGTTATGACTCATAACTTCATGAAATTCGGAGAATCTTCTAGTAACGCCCTTTGTATATAAACGTAGCTACAGAACATGTACTAGGTACCCAATTCTTACCTATCTTGAACCATAACCACTTCGTGTGACCTCAAGCATCGGACACTAAGCCTCGTGCTAGTCCCGTTAAGCTCATAAGTTAGAAACCTAAGCCTCGTGCAACTTGTTCAAGAAACCTGTAAGAATACCTCAAGCTCGCTCGAACCCATTTCTCGCTCGCGGATACCAATATTCTCACGCTTACGCTCTTGTTCTCTCACCACAACGTACTTCGATTAACAAATACTCGCTTCTATTTGCTAGCACGGTATCCGATGACCACAACATTGGTGGACACATACGGTCTTGCTCGAGGGTATACAACGTACTTACAACACTTTGTTTACTCGTGTACTCATCTTCTCTGAACATTGTTTTGAAAGCCATGTCAGGTGAAAGCTCTAGCAATACACCAGGAGCTCCTCCAGGACTCGATAAAGGGAAAAATCCCGAGACACCAATGGACAAGCTACCAGGTCATTTTCAATACGGGAACATCACTCACCGGCGCCAGAAGCGTGAGCCAGAAGCGGCAAAACCAGAGGAGGAACCTCTCAGTGAGGATGAAGGAAGCCAGCGCTCCGATAGAACAGACTACTTCCAACTTGGTGTAATTGATGGCCCGCTTTCTACAAGTGAGTATGATGAAGAGAAGATAGCGAGCATAATACTAGACGTACCAACACTGAAAGCATTCTCAACTATTAAGAATGACACACCTCAGCTACTCGAACGACGTAAATTTGCCTTGGAAATTGCCTTGAAAGCAATTGATATGGACTTCTTGAAGTGATAGCACAGCCACGTGGGCGAAACGCCGGCTGGTAAATGAGCCTAGAGGGAGGGCAGTTGACGAGGTGAGCAAACAGAGACACATGTATATTTGCAATTGGCAGATTTCGGGAGTGCGGGAAGTTTCGGGTCGGGTAGACCTTGCTTACCAGCAAGGTAACCGGAATTAAAATTTGTTCGTTGATATCGTTCCGTCAATCTGATAGTGACGAGGTGATGAGTCCTTCTTTTGCTCTTAACGATTTTATGGATTCTAACCTACATTGCATAGGTGCCCGATGATTCAAACCCTGAGCTCGACTAGATGGTACACGCTGGCCTCGATCCCGAGTTCTGTTATTCCAAGTGTATGTGCAGCTACTAGTTTACTTCCTTCTACGCTAACCCATCTTTTCTCCAGCCTACTCACGGCTTAGGCTCAAACCTACACTAGGTACGTAGTTTATGGTAGTGGTGTTCATCAGCTAACGCGTTGTTTTTTGCTTGGTAGGATGTACCAACAGCAGTGACGACAGGAGTGAGGTTGCCTAGGGATTTCTGGTATGTCACCCTTTTTCTATCGTGTTCTAACTAACTGAGTAGTGCCAGAGTATTCCCGAGCTTGTTGCTCATCGAGGGCTACTGCTATGGTGGATACCGTCGAATGCCTTGTGAGTCGGTAGGGTTTTATTTTCATCGTCCTCATTTCTAATGCTGTCTCTTAGGTCCCTCAAGCGGAATACAGCGTGTGCGAAACCAAGATCACGTCGACAGGATTGTAAGCAACACCGCAAATGAATATCTTTCTCCCGGCGGCATCTGGTGTGGGGTATGGCGGCGTGTCTCGCGTTGTACTGAGCGAGTCATCATAGGTGGGGATGGGATGGGGAGTAGTTGTGGTGGAGAGCAGAGTCGTGGCGGGCATGCTAATAACCGAGGGTGAGTTTTCAGATTCCTGCAGATATGAGCAATCTGAGAACATAACTACAGGCATACTACCTGAAAACCTTGGAACTCGGACCAGGCCGGTGTGCAGCAAGACGTGCTCCGTGTTGGAATTGTCGTTGCAGTGGAATTTTAGTTGGTTCGGTGTGTTCTCGGTGCCGATGGTGCAGCACGGTGAGTTGGTTCAGTTTCACCTATTTTCTCATTTCTAACATCGTTCCTTATGCCCTCAAGCTCACTACGAAGACATCATGCGCTGTTCAGAGTACCCGAAATGGGCTGAGATGGGATGCGAGTCGTCGGGATGATGCAGGAGTGATTACTGTGAAGGTAGGACAGCGGAGTCAGCGTTGGAGGGACGTGTTTACAACCCTCAGTACTCAGCGTGCAGGCAGGAGGGTCGGTATCGTTATCGCTGTAGGACTTTTTCTGGCTTAAGTAGGGAGCACGATGGTATGGGGCTCTGCAGATTGTGCAGAGCCAGTTAATGTACTAGGTGGGCAAGGCTCTGGCACCACAATAGCTTGAGTACTAACAGAAGCTTCGCAGGTAGAGAAATAAATGCTTATCAAAAGGTATGAGTATTGGCTACCTTTGATGACAGGGAACTAACGAGAAATGTAACAGATTATAATGTTATGGAATATCGAACGGACGTTGAGCAAGAAATGAAATGTTATTGAATACGTAGAATGCACACAGCGTACGGACATTATGTGGTGACGGCCATTCCGCGCAGACGTGTCGCAGTGTACGGATGTGTGCGGGGTGCACGCGCATGCATGGGGGAGTGTGCGGAAGGAAGTCTGCACGTGGAGAGGAGGATGGGATGCGTGGATGGGGGGATGTGCGCGGAGGAGGGAGTGATCAATGTCGCCAAGAACGGAGAGGTCGTTTGCGTGCAAGTCGTGTAGCAGGGAGGAGGTCGTCTTGTGGCTGTGAAGGGATGGCATGCCTGGAGGGAATAGGAGGGACGTCGACGGGAGGAAAGTCGTTGAATTCACTGAGACAGGCAGATTTGCGGGAGGGGCGTCGGGATTCTGGATTCGGATGGACGAGGGAGAAAATGGATGAAGGATTCATGATGAGGTGAGGTGGCGGGTTCGAAACCGTCAAGTTGACGCGGCTCTGCCGAGATGGGCACTGGCATCATAGCTCGAGGGAAAGGGTCAGCATACATAACTTATTGCTTACATCAAGTTCTCATCCGTTTCACACTCTTCCTTTGATCATGCCCAGTGAAAAGTCGGTCGAGCCACACTGAGCCAAATCAAGCCCAGGGAAATGGTCGATGGGGCTCCATTCCGCTCGTTGTGGCTTCAAAATGTGAACCATTTTCCAGCTCAAATCGAGCCATTTCGAGCTCAGTGTGTCGGTGTCATAGGGTTCCATTAGGCTTTTTGGGGCTCGATTTTATTGCTATTAATATGCATAGAATCAGATTGCTACTAGTACGTACTACGCTAAGTAGCAGCATCCTTCCCATTCCGTCCACGGCTGGCTCTGTCCCGCTCGGATACCTCAACCGTGTTTCCCGACGTCAAGATAGATGTACCGAAATAGATGGCCCTAGAAAATGTTATATCAGTACACAATGACGGGAAAGACGATTCCAGGACTGCTCACGAAATAAAAGCCAGCGGGAACGATGGCAAACACGACCTGTATAAGATTAGATTAGTGAGTCCAGGAACACACACATATAGAACAGAACGTACCATCACCACACCCGAAGCTATGCCTAGACGGCATATGGAGCAACTGTACACATTCTAAGTATCAAGAGAAAAACATTCAAGAGCGCAATGAGACGTACCTCAGAGATCCAGATATCTTTCTGCTCAAACGGGATTTCCAAAGACGTATTGCTGCTAAAGGTGTCCAAACATGGCGCATATATCCACCTTATGCGGCATTTTCAATCTGTAGCCTCATGTCTGCAAGTCTTCGCATCAGCTTGCCGGTAAAAGACCAACAATAGGAGGCTACGAGAGCAAGTACGAACCCATGTCCTGCGATAATACAGGATCTGGGTGTAGGGCGACAATGAGGACAGCGAATAGGCCAGAACGCGACGTGGATGGTGGTGGTAGAAGGGGAAGAAGCGTTAATTGCGTCACTGGATGACATCCACGTGGTCGGAACCATTGACTTGAAGTTGTGCCAATTTGCGCTCGCAAAATTCGGCGCATTTTAGTTAACCGTTAGGTTCAGAGAGATTCTGCCCTGGTATTCTTGGATGTGCTGATGGAAAGGGGAGAAGGTTTATAGTCCGAAGCTTTCTTGTACGACGCCGCTTGATCCGGCTCGACCACGCTACATGATAATCTTTGCAGCTTGATTTGGCTCAAACCGGCTCGACGGAATTTTCACTGGGGATCATGGCGGAATCTGCGGACTATATCCATATGGACCCCTACTCAGAAGCCTACAGCGATGCTTTTGAATACGCGCTCATGATTGGCAGTACAGCGCTTGTTAAATCACCCCTGCCCAAAGAAGAGGACCTCGTACCTGTTGATCCCTCAGCATCAATGCTCGTCGACCCCAACGTCCCGACTTCCTTACACCCAGATCAAGTCAACAAATACCCTCATCTTCCACCATCTGTACTAGTGAAGGGAGAACGAAAGCTTTTAGCAAAATACGACTCCCAAAGGCCTATAGACATCCCCATTGTTCATCTCACCTATCTGATGGACCCAGAGCTTAACCTTTACGTCGAATATGATACTGAAGGTCGTTTCGTCTTCTCCGTCACTGAGAACACTAGATATGGTTGTCTCGTTCATGTTGACTAAGCTAAGGAGGATGAGGAGGGAATGGGAGCGGAGGAGCTGCTCAAAAAGCTGGTTCTTGAGTACCCTGGCTGTAGTGTTGGTGCGAAGGTACCGCCGTTCGTACCCTGAGATGAGGCTGCCCATTGGCCTTACAAGTAGCCTGTGGCAGTAACCCAGACTCATTGGTGAGAGTTCATAATCTTCATTGCCCAGGCTGCTGTCATTACTGATCACAATTTCCTTCTTAGATTTCATATACTTAAGGTCGGCGTTCTTTAACAAGATAATCAATGCTTTCATTTCCCTCTTCTGTCATTCTGTCGTTACTAGTTCGTGAATTATACTGTTGACTCGATGCTCCAAGCGGTGCGACCGGTTGATACTTATACAAATTACAGAAGGATCCATAACGTAGAGTACGCTTGACGATAGGACGATCAAGACTGAGACAGACCCCGCCATCAGTGCGGCTGTTGTAGGCTAGCTCCCGTGCTCCCTCACATCGGAGGTAGCAGAGCGTAGGATCAACATGTGACTTCTTGTTGTACTTCAATATGTACGGGAGGGTTCCCCCTTTCTCCGGAACAGCGCTACAGTGTCTTTGTCAAAATCCGAATTAGGTCGAACAGATTGAGGACATGATTCGAAAATAGTACAAGGAATAGCCGGGACACGAGTTCTGATCTTCACACAAGACCGCGTGATTCTATTACACCACAGCAGCGGATGTATGGGTGTATAAGCTGCACGGTATGATGATGAGATTACAGAGGGTTAAATGTCATGTCCGATGATGTGCGAGAGAGGAGACGTGTTTGTCGGTCTAAATGACAGATTACGGCCTGTACCTCCACCGACTGTACCTTTCCAGCTTCACCATGACCTACTTCGGCATCAACTGATAGAAGAACGTGTTTTGTAGCCGAGGCCGTCGAACGTTTGGATAACAGCGGAAATAAATCATGATGATGGCTGTCATCAATTGCATCGATAACTCCGACGGTAGCATTGAATGTGGTTTCTTCAGAAAAGATGTCAGCCTCAATTTTGAGGGCGAAACATGAAATGACAGCACCTGAAGCCATGTTGGAACGGTTTGAAGGAAGATGAGAGGTCAGCTGGATATTTCGATTGACGACATCTTCTGATTTTTGAGGGATACAGAAAGAAATAGTAATGCTAAACAAAAGCTTGTGAGGCGCTATCAGCTCGACATCAATACCAAGCATGCTTTAAAGCAGTCGTTGGCCATAATACATGGGAAGAGACCACAGGGGGAAGACAGGAAGCACGCTATCAGGCCTAAAAATGGAAGACTAATAAAGGCAGCAACGGAAGCAGGCTCCGGCAACCTGTATAGTAGATTGGACCGAAGTCTGCACTTATAAGCGCTGCAAGAGGCTTCTCCCAATGGGCTTCCCTCCAATGAGGAAGAGTGCCACGACCATACAAAGAGCAAGTAACCCCACAGCCATCAAACAAATCGCCATCCATCCTTCGGCGATATTGTCGTACATCTAGAAAGGAAGGAACGTCACCAAATCACGCGCTCCACAAAGTTTCGTGTACCAACCTGACCACCCACAATAGGTCCAACTATACAAGGCGTGAGCGAAGAGGATCTCATACATAGTAAAGAATAACAGACCCGAGGATCCGATCGCATACGTCAGATTGCTAAGCGCATAGACATGCGCATCTGGGTCGATGCGATTTAATACGGGGTGCAAAGTAAAAATCCAAGGTTCACATACAGTTAACGCCACCAGTGGTACGTGCGATGGATGCACACTCTGTAAACACCAAAGTCGCGAGGCCTATAAGTGAAAAAGGCTAGTGTCATCTCTCATTAGCACACACCAAAGCTGGGGGGACGACTAGTACTCACTTGCACAGGCATAAGCTGCGATAAGTAGCGCCAGATGTACATCCAGGATCATCACAATGTACCCAGGCATGGCAGATATCAGGGTAATCATGATAACTATCGAAACACCAAAGCGATCTGCGAGCCAGCCTGAAATCGGCGGGGCTGAACAAATATGGTGGGTCATTGAGAATCATGATACAGTTGAACTTGTTTTGCGCACCAAAGATGGTGGGAATAATAGAAGCCAAAAGAACAAGGCCAACTTCTGAGGCATCCAGGCCCCAGACACTGTTCAGATGAGAAGGTAAGACCGTGGTCAACATACCCTCCAATATGCTAAGAAAAACAAGTCAGACATTGTAGACAGGGACAGAAGAAGGGCAGAACAACGAACGCGATTATAGCTGAGACGCATACTGCCCCTAGAGCGCGATGTGATTGGAGCAAAAGACAGAAAGCCTTCACGAAGGAGATTCTAGCTTCATCCGATTGAACTGTAGCTCCAATCTCCTTGTTATCTAGTTCCTTCCTCTCTAACGGTATATGATCCGATATTATCGAGGACGGCGGGGTCCCTGGATGCGCCGGTGATGAGGAGCCTAAAGACTAGGTCGGGCAAGGAAACTATGACGCCAAAAATGAATGGGCCACGAAATCCGAAACGGGCGTATAGCGGCCCGCCTATCGGGGTTCCGATAAGCATACTAAAGAATAGTTAGTGCTTGACTGCTTAAGGGAAGAAAAGTGTTGTATGCGGACCCAAGGAGTACACCGGACATCATAATACCAAGTTGTCCTGCAGCCACATTGAGAATTCAGTAAGAGGCCAGTGTAGGCGACATACTACCAACAACTCTGGAAGGACTTCGATCACACCTAGGGAAGTTAGATATGAGCGTACATTGTAGGACACGATATTCATGTACCTATGACTTACAAAAGAGCTGAACCAACAACCAACCTTGTATAGTTTCCTGCGCCCTGAAGACACCGTGCAAAACACATGACCCAGTAAGAAGGCGCCTCCATGAACATGATTTGGGAAACTATGAGCGTCAAGACACCGGTAATGTAGGGAAGCCTTTGCGTGTTGTACGCTTCAGACCATAGAGCGACGGGAACAGATGCTGTAAAGGCAGTGTTTCTGGTCAGATCACTTGCGAAAGTTAGGGGACACTAACCTATGATACCGCCTGCACTCTAGCAACAAGTTAGAGTCAGACTTAGCGTATAAAGAAAAGAAAAGGGCCATACATATGCAAAAAGAAGCCACCCATTCAGAGAAACGACGTCCTTGTAACCGAGGGCCTTGAGCTGGAAAGGGACTACGGGTATACTCAAAGCAAAAGTAAGAACGTCTACGACGGTGCCTGTGTAATAACGAAACGTGAGCTCGTATTCAGGAATACGATATAAACTATACCTAGCCACATCACAAACGTTACAAACCAGTACGACGACCTCCATTTCCAACCCCAATAATATTCTTCGGCTTCTCCGTGGTCAGCGCGAGGAAACATGCGGTTGAAAGGCTTGAAGTTCGTATGGGATGTGCAGTCTTCAGGGAACCTTTATAACCCCCTACGGTAGGTACGTTTTACGTTCGTTAACTGGATAGCAGTCCCAGATGTTACGTCGCCCTAGATAGAAGAGGCGCCGATGCCAATAGTCAGGCTCAATGTACGAAGGCGCTAGAGTCACAAGCGAACGGTGTAAATACAAAAATGATAACCGAAACCAGGCTTAGATGGCTGCCGAGCGAGTAGAACCTTTAAAAAAATGTATGTGAAGTTCCTTCTTATTAGTACGACTACGTACGCACCTCCGGGTTGCGCGTGGGCGGTTCCAACTTCTCTTCCGGGCCTTCGTATTCGAAGTAGTATGGGCTAGCGGCGGATCGACGAAGGATGTAAGTCTTAAGATTCATATTGTGCCAAAGAAAAAGAACACTCCTGGCCGCCCTACAGCATCTTTCACCCTCAAACGATAGCAGAGAGCCCACCTTACCGACCGCAGGTGCTTGAACTCTGGCAGCGAAAATGCTCGCCTAATACTGTTGACCGTTTCGTACGCCTTGCTCTTTTGCCAAATTGCGGGCATCTAACTGGGAATCTTGAATTTGTAGCCAAAACTCGGATTGGCCTATGCCATCTCGTTCCTCATACGCGGACTGTACGTGCTGACCTATGATACTAAATGCCTGATACGCCGAGAGAAGCTTCGCGCGATGGGTTTCTCTCCTAAGTAGAAGAAAGTCACCACGATGCCACATGCATGCAGCCCGGCCGCCATTAAACAGATATCCATCCATCCGTCGGCGAGGTTATCGTACATCTAAGTAGTCGGTACCTCAGTAAATTGCTTGTCCTATAGGACATATGCACCTACCTGACCGGTCAAAACAGGTCCAACTAGATATGGAGTAAGTCAACAAGATTTAGCGCTGCGCAGGTGACAAACCCGTCAGCCCGATCCCAAATGCCCAATACAGAGCCCCATAAACATGAGCGTCTTGATCGATGGGACTTAGTACCGCGAGAAAATAGCCTATGAACCACTTACAGCCAACACCATCAATGCTTCGTGAAGCAGACGCAAACTCGGCCAATAGCGGCGACAAGACTCCAGACCCGAAAAAGACTAGAAGATCACCTATTAGAGGAGCAAAATGGACGTATTTGACCACTTACACGCGCAAAAATTCACAACAATGAAAAGTGAGAAGTACCTAGCTATGCTCAGGATCACGAACCATGGGATAGCCAAGGCTGAGGTGATTATGATAACTACAGAAACACCTCGACGGTCTGCAAGCCAACCAGAAAGAAGTACAGCTAAAGATGGATCAGTGAATTTGTACTTCAAGAAGGGATACGTATTGACGTACCAATAAAACCAGAAATGGTAGGAGCCAAGAAGACAAGGCCGACTTGAGAAACATTGAGGCCCCAGACGCTGTTCAGGTGAGACGGCACGATGGGTTGCATAAAATTATCTAGCATGCTATGAAATGCGTTCAGGGACAGTAAGCGATAGAAAGTAAGGTGCAAACCCATGGATAAACGCGAGACACATCCCTGCAACTATACGGGGCGACTGGAGCATGAGATGGAGAACCTTCACAGGCGAGGCCTTATTCTGCACTTCGCCTGAGGAAGCAGTAGTTCTTCCTTCTCTCTCACTTTCCAACGGGATCTCGTCCGACCTATCAGCGAAAACACAGCGGCGCGGACGCATATCTGACTGGGATGATGAGAAGCCAGAGAGCCAGGATAGGCAAGGCGGCTATAGAGCTAAAAACAAAGGGCCCGCGAAAACCGAAATGGGTGTATAGCAGTCCGGCTATTGGGGTTCCAAGAAGCAGACTAAAAATACTCAGTACTTCGTTTAAAAGGAAGAAAGGGGATATTCGCACCCAACGGGAGCGCCCGACAATACAATGCCAAGTTGCCCTACAGCCAGCCAATGAGAACTAAGCAAAAGACCAGTGTAAGCGACCTACTGCCGACAACTTTAGAAGGACTTTGATCGCACCTGAAGGAGCAAGGGGTAAGTGGGGACACAATCTCAGGGTACTATAGCTTACATAGCTGCCGGACCAATGACCATCCTCGCTGCACTTGCTGCGCCCTGAAGACACCGCGCAAGACACATGACCCAGTAAGAAGGAGCCTCCATGAACATGATTTGGGAAACAATAAGCGACAATATACCAATAGAATACGGAAGCTTTCGCGTGCCGTATGCTTCAGACCAAATAGCAATGGGTACAGAGGCTGTAAAAAGCGGCACTTCTAGTCTGGGCCACAAGCGAAAATTTGCAGAAAACATACTCATGATATTGCTTCCACCCTAGAAGTAAGCGTCAAAAACGGCAACAAAGGACGAACAGGGTCATACATATGCAAAAATAAGCCATCCCGTCAGAGAAGCTACATCCGTATAACCGAGTGCCTTCAACTGGAATGGGACAACGGGTATACACAAAGCGAGCGATAGACTGTCTACAATAATACCTAGTATTGGTACAAGATGTCAGCTTGTTCTGAGAGCTAAGGTACAAACTTTACCTAGCCATACTACGAATGTCACAAACCAGTACGACGACCTCCATTTCCAGCCCCAAAGGTGCTCTTGGACGTCGGTGCGGGGAAACATGCAATTTGGAATGCTTGAAGTCTGCATGGGACGTGCGCTCCTCAGGCGAACTTTATACTCTCAGAGGAGGTATCCATAATCGCTCGATGACTGATAGTAGTCCCAGATACTACGTACATCAAAATAAAAGAAGTATGTGGAGTACGAGTAGAACCTTGTGTAAACTGTACGTGAGTTTCTTTCTTGGCAGAATGGCTACGTACATACCTTCGGAATGCACATGCATCTTTCAAACTTCTCCGGCCTCTCTCTAACCTTATTTCCACCTTTTGGCAGCTCCTCACCACCTTGGCGCGTGAAGAGGTCGTTGGGAAAATTGACGAGTCGTCGCGGCTGCACATAAGACAATTTGATGCGCGTATATACAAACGGAGAGCATTCATTCCCGGCTTGATGCCTTCAATGCAGGTCGACATTGAAGCGAAAGTGGATAAAAGTATTTAATGATATTAACGTGCCAGTGGATTGAGCGACGATGTGGTGGAGTGAAAACCATCAACGGCAAAAACGGACCGGATTTCCGAGATGAGATCATTTTCTCTTTTCCCGTAACTACCACGCGTCTAGGGCATCCCTTCAAATTCTAGGTTGCTAATTCGAGTATGCTCAGTGAGTGCGTTCTGTTTCTTAAAATTATGAATATGTATAATTATCTTTGCTTTAGCTACGTTGGACTATCGACTGTGCTCAGCCTGGTGGATACTGGCACCTAAACGACACTTATGTTCCACCGGCCGAATTTTAGATAAAGAGCGCTTTCAAAACCTCAGGATTGTGACTCCCGAATATGTTACTGCCATCCAGATTACGAACAAGCCAGATATACCGATTTCACTCATACCAAGACATCTGCAGCGCCTAAAGCACCTCGAGCGGATACAATTTCTTGACAGACATATGATGTCGATCGACCGTGAAAAAGATTTATTACGCGCCTTATCTGCATTACCTCTCAAGGGTCTTCACCTTAAATCGACGCTATTTCGCAACCAACAGCAGCTTTTCGACTTCATACGCCGTTTTCCTACACTGGTGGAGGTGTCCTGCTCGGACATACGCTACGTGGAGAAGAAAAACCCCCGCCCGTATGTCGGACCACTTCCTTTACTACCACACCTTCGGGCAGTTAATATGGACGATAGTCTATGGTTCGCAGCTCTGAATGGAACCTTTGGGTCAGTCAACAAGTTACAGAAAGTCACCGCGTTGGATGTGCACTTTGATGATATCCCAAAAGTTGGCCAATTTCTTCAAAATACTGTTAGGAATCTCTCTGAGTTTAATATAAGGCATTTGCATGGTATTGAAAGCAGTAAGTACTTGACGTTCTTCAAATTCATTCTTCTGTCTTATCGTGAATTCAGACCCGGGCATGACGAGAGGCCGTGCGGCTTGGAAGGAGGAACAAAAACCCCTTGTCCTCTCGCACTTGAAGGCGCTGGGAATTGACATCCATGATCGGCAGAGGGTTACAGGGCTCTCTCCTTACACTATGGCCAGCATCTTGGGATGGTGGATACGGTCGCTCGAAGACTCTGTCAAAGAGGGTATAGTGTCAGCTCTCGAACGTTTAACAATCATAGTGGGAATGTATAAGAAGGATTACATCCTGAGGTATTCGAACGAGATATGGGCAACAATCGATCGCCTCCTCACTCGGGATCAGTTCCCCGAGTTCAAATCTCTTCGCGTTATCATCAAGGCCTACCATCCTGTCATCCTGTCTCAGTGATGAGCGCCATGCAACGGACGAAGATGATAGTCGAGCATTGTCCGCGTTTGCATGGCAGGTTAGACGTCTCTATAGTACAAGGGACTTCCGTATCCGGTAGAACATATTTCCAGAACATCAAAGTTAAACCCAAGACACCACCCGTGCCAGGCGCTAAGGGTATGTCCAGTTTTTCGTTTGGGTCGCCATTTGTCCTTACATGTTGCTTGACCACAGAAAGTAGTCACCTCGTCTCCACTTCATAATGTGGCTACGATTGCAGGTAGCTACTTGCACCATGGGGTGCACAGAAGATGATATACCCCCCAAAAGCGCTCTTTGTCGTCAGATTTCCGTTGCCCGTCTCATATCGCGACCTCGTACAGCCTTGCAATACAAGGTGGGCGGACAAATGTGACTCAACACACTCTGCGCAGTGATGAAAGAATCATCGATATTGTGCTATCTGTTGGATTGTATCATATTCAGTAGCACTGTAGCACTGGAATGTCATCAGAGCATATGCTCGCTGATGCTATTGTTCCCATCACCTCATGCACGACCCTGAAACTTTCTAGCCGCTTACTTTCATGTGAATCATGTCAGACGAGGATGCTTCAGTCATTTCTGTTGATGCATCGGGAAAACATGACATGACAGATAACCTGACTCTTAAACCTCAGATTACACAGTTTTACCCACTGTCTTCTGAAAAGGGATCAAAGTACTCGCTGCATGCCGTACAGGAAGAAGTTGTTCCCCAAAACGAAGATAGCAGCACTGGAGCGAAGCACTTCCTGGGTCCGGCTTCCAAGAAGAAAACCAAGAGAAACCGGGGTTTTGGTGTCCGGCGCGTCGGAGAGCAAAAATCGGAGAGAGGTGCGTTAGACGTTCCCAATGACCACGGCGAATAACTGCTGACTCGGACGAAACTGTTTAGCGGCATTTGACTACGAAGATAAGTATCCAGAAGATCCCATATACGAAGAAACTGCGCCAACTGCCAGAGTCTGGAGGACCTACATCGATGAAAGCCAAAAGTTCGATGCTGACAGAGTGGGCGATTGGCGGGACACTGTTGATGTTCTTTTGGTATTTGTGAGTCGATCAACCTTCTTCCTCACACCTTCTAATCTATATGGAAGGCTGGTCTCTTCTCTGCCGTTGTTAGCGCGTTCGTAGTTCAATTCTCGCAAAACCTACAACCGGATTACAGCCAAATCTCCGCTTATCTACTTTTTGAACTCGTATCCATTCAACAAGCTATTTCCAACGGGACTAGCGTCAACCTCCCACTTTCCTTTCTGGATCCAACGGCAAAGTTTACTCCGGCGACGTCCATTGCGTGGGTGAACGGACTGTGGTTTGCCAGTCTCGCGCTGAGCCTTTCGGCGGCACTCGTATCTGTCTTGGTGAAGCAATGGCTCCACCACTATATGATTCTACCATCCGGTACGCCTCAGGAACGTAGTCACGTACGACAGTACCGATACATGGGTCTACGCAAGTGGCAGGTGCCTCTGATCATCGGTCTCCTGCCGATGCTTATGCATCTTGCTTTAGCGTTCTTCTTCATAGGCCTTGTCGTTTTCCTTGGTCCCATGCACATCATCATTGCTTGGGTCACCGGCGGGATTGGAGCCATCGCATATCTAGTTGTCATTGTGACGAATGTCCTCCCCTTTTGGTTGTCGCAATGCCCCTACCGCACGCCACTGGCAGATGCTATATACATATCTGCGAGTTATTTTTCGCAGCACGTCGTGCCCAAGCTGAAAGGTTTCTTCGCCGAATCGTTACCCGGAATGCCGTCAAGTCCGAATAGGATACATGTCCAGTCGTTGAACAAGATCGAGACGGACACCGTCAAGTCTATCTCCAACATGCTTAACGTGGACGCTCTATATTGGCTATACGACATGTCCTCGAATCCCACAGTACGAAGTATCGTTATACAGGCCATTGCAGGGCTTCCTATGGAGGTGTCAGAGGTGGCTCGCCAGAGATTTGCCGGTACAAATATCCTTGAGGAGCAGACAGTGCTGCTAAACGAATGTTTATCCCCAGGTCCGTTCGCAGATATCATAATCCCTGTTCCAGGGAAGGAAGCCAAGATAGAACGACTCCTGCGATTTGAGCTGCAAATCCCCGTCGAAATCTCACATCTAACACGGATTCCCTACCTCAAGCTTCCTGAATTCTCTTCGCCTCGACTTTGTGCTGTAGTGATTACCAGCCATTTCCAGACGAGCGTATTCGTGCCGCTTGCCGTTCGTCATGCAGAGCCAATACAGTTCATACTAGACTTATTCGATAGGAAGGGAGTCGACGTGCAACTTCCTCCCCTTGTCTGGTCACGACTCGTCAAACGGGCGTGCGACATTAACATTGGAGGCATGGAACACAATATGGAATCTTGGATTTCATTATCCACGGCTTTGCTAGAGGTTTCAGCTAAGGATTGGTCAAGTCCTCCGTCTCACGCAATATCTCTGCATACACCGCATATCAGCACACTACGCCAGGCCATCATCATGTACCTATACCGAGACGTGGTTGACAACCTACTTGACACATACACATGGGCAGGCTGTAATGCATTCGCAAGGCAGCACGCTAAAGTCATCCCCCGTATCCAGCTTCTTTTGGCTATCATCGAATTCCTTCTCAAGATTGTGTTTCGGGGAGCCCCGGATTCTGCGCCAGGCTTGCGCTTGTTCGTGAGCGTCATGACTGATCTTGAACGGTGTGTAGCGAGATATCCATCGCTGACTACGGATGAAAGCCGAGGTATCATTCTTGGAATCGACCGAGTTGTTCAATCCAATTCCAACCTATTCAATGCTGCGACCCCGAGAGACTCGCAACTTTGGTCTGGGCGAATTTGCATACTAGAGATATATCGCATGATGCTTGGAATGCCCTCTCGATTAAGGACAGGGTTTCTCAACTTCCCGTTGGATATCCGACATTCACTGTCTTTAATAACTATGCGAAAGCTCATCCAAGTGGCTTTTGAAGACGAGTCATGGTTGTCGCAGGAGCTATCGATGGACTATAACGGAAATCTCAACCCTACACATCAGCTGTACTTCCACACTTTGTCCCAGATCTTGCACCACTGCTTCAGAAACCATGTAGCGGTTGCGTATGATGCCTTTGAGCAGATTGATTGTATCAGGCTGTCTGCAAGCTGCCAGTTGCATCCAGAATTTGTCCGAGTTCTGGAGACATATACCCTTGGACTGACGTCTTCCTCGCTGGACTATGTATACCGGCCCGATATTCTCCTCATTGTATGTACCACTTTGGCATGCAACAATGTAAGTAAGGTGAAGGGTCCGAGTAAAGCATTGGCGGAGTTGGCGAAGAAGCGGCCTGACGATCCTGGGTGGGATATGTGCCGGAAGAGGTTGTTGGAATTGGCACAGGATAATTCGGATTCAACCGACTGGTTCAAGAAACAAAAGGTCGATGACTCTTCTCTATCGGAGGTAAGGAGAAAAATTTGCGATGCTATAGATATCGTCGAGAGAATAACCGGTCCTGATATGGTGAGAACCTCCGGTCTTGGTACGATAATGATGATTCATGCGTACTTTCAGGAAAATTCATTACCTCGCATCCCTGAACTCGCACGCCAGAGTCTCGTGAATGGGAAGGCGCTGGAGGGAAACTCCAGTCCACAAGGTGTAGAATACAAATGGATTTCGAAAACTTAAGTTGTGGACAGAATATGGTAGAATTAACCCCTAGAATGCACGGATTTGATGTATTCGCAATATCGGATAGCACAACATAAAGTAAGAAAGATACGAGAGTGCGAACGAGTGACACTAGAGTTGATCCGGAGAAAGTTTGTAGTATTCGGGACAGAGATTATCCCAGGCAGCTGCAATGCAAGTATGATCAACAACACGGAAGACTGCGACTTGCTATATCTCTTACCAGGCGCGGGATTGAACGCTGCAGCTTCGTCGGTAGCTTCGGCGAGTACTACGGCCATACCGCTGATACAAGTTAATTATCAATAGAAGAAGGAAAGATAGAATCATGCTCACGCTTCTAAGTGAAAATCGATGTGACTAATAGATGGATAAGTAAAGATGACGTGAACAAGGAAAGGAGGCGGCACTGACCAATGCAAAAACCAAGGCCCAGGATTGTCGGTTACAAATCGTATGGTAGTGGTATTGCCCATGAGAACGCTTGTTACGTCTCGACGAACCTGTGGGCCAGTCAATTTCTGAAGCACATAACAAGAATGGAATGAACGTACTGGGTCAATATAATTTGTCACATCGCTATCCGCGCTTTTGACAACGTCAAAGGCATGCTGTGTATTATCTTGGTGAGCAAAACTCCATGATTGTGGATTGTTCCGTGCTTACACCGTGTAAATGCATCGGATGCTAGAGACACGTGAGCCCCAAGCACAACTGGCAATTAACATATATACGCACAGGATCCCCAACAGCCATTCCTCCAATCATATTGATCTCAATGGTCTTATTGAGCGGGAGACCATATACAGAACCCTGGGGCAACAAGTCCTGCGCTTTCTGCGCTCCGCTCATGATCTGAAGCAAAACCGGGACCGAGGGTGGCTGAAATGGGACGCTGTTGATTGAAAACTGGCCGGTAGTAAGGTCGATCCCCATCGTCAAGTTCAGTACTACATCAGCACCGCCAGGGAATGGTAGTCCCGGGGCACCAGGATGTCCGAGGGCATGGAGATCCGCCTCCTTCAAGAGAACAAGGGGGGTTTGCTGCGTAGATGTAGGATCTCCTTCCGGAGCACCTACATACCTCAAAATGGCCGAGTTAATTCCTGACTCGAAGGGGGTGCCAGTGAAACCGTAAGCCTCAGTGCCGGGTTGTGCGCGTATCCAATAGTTGTCCACAGGTTGTTTGGCGTGCAAGATGGCAGAATACCGCTGACCTGCAAGGATGCGCAAGGCGTTCACTGTATGAGGCACGGTATTTTCTCCGTCGGCTTCGATGATAGTGAGGTCGTGGCCATCGATAGAGAAAACGTAGTTTGGATCACACGACATGGAGATTATACGGAGTCGGTAACGTTTTGTGGGTTCGACCGTGATCACTGTAAGAGCTGAAGTCGGCTATGAAAGAATTAATATGACGTTATGTAAAAAAGAAGCGTATACATACGTCTTGGTAAAATCTTCCTGACCCATTGATTAGAGTGGAATTGAATCTCTTTTGACCCGGTTGTTTGAGAAGCTCCGGAGTAGGGATGTGGTACCTGATCACTTCATATCAAAAGATTTCGTTCATCAGACAAGTCAATGATACGAACCAGTCCGATAACGTGATGATAGTCGACTCTGAAAAAAGGAATTGAGCACAACGGAAATTCCGCATAGTCCGTACTCACCATCATCAACATCGTATAATTCCCTATGCGGGTCATTCACTCCGTCTATACCGTCATACACGACAAATGGGCCACGTAATCCGTCGCAGTATTGTACCGACAAATGTGAGTGGTACCAAAACGTCCCAGCTTGATCAGGTACGGGGAAGTCGTACAAGAATGAATCCCCCGACGTGATAGGACACTGGGTGACCGAGGCAGTACCGTCCGCAAAATTTGTACCCCGTTGGAAGATACCATGCCAGTGCTACCAGGGACAGATTAGAAGGTTGTGATTAGTGAAATGAGATAATACTTGCAACACTGGTACTTTGGAGCATTGTTTTATCATGGAGCGAATCCTTGACATCAATCTTGAATCGATCACCCTAATAACATTCTTAAGTAAAATTCTGTCAGTTAGTTTGAGAAAGTATCGCACCTTAACTCCCTTGATTAGCGGGCCCGGAAAGGTCCCTCCAGCTACGGTGGTCCTAATTGGGCAGTTAGCAAATCTGAGGTACAAGATAGTGGAAGGATACGAACGAGCGCGTGAATCCATCTGGGGCCAGGTACTGGTTCGATATTTCTAGACCTGTAATTGGGCCAACAATCTCGAAGCCTAAAGAGACCTCTACCAGCAGATAGAGCACAAGAGCAGCGAGCATTCTTGAGAAGCCGGGATGAGGTGTTGGCTAATGCCCTTCATAGTTCGTGAGGGTTTTTAAGGAGCGGGAAAACACCATGCACGTAAGAGAGCGCTCAGACAGGAGTCCTCGGACGAGAATTCCAGAAGTGATCCGAGCGAGATACAAGCTCTTAGGTAGCGAGAGTGAGACGCGTCCTGCTAGTACTGCGATCGGAATGCTGCCGAGAGTTCCAAGGGCACGAAGAACGAGAAATAAGAGATAAAACATAGGCGCGTTGACCAAGTCGAAAAACGTTGAAGGACATATTATCGAAATTTTGGGGTCAGTCTCGGTACAACCTTTGAACTATTCATGGAATGCAGTATAGGAACCGTCAACGAGCGTTACAGCGATTATGCCGAAGTCAGGAGTAGTTCAAGTCGGACCCAGTGTAGCCGCAGACAGAAACAGCGTCAGGCACGTCTTAGCCGCGCTCCGATTTGATTCACAAAATTTCGAGACAAACATCGAGGGGAAAAATGGCTACAGGAACAATGGTTCACAAAGGAGAGTATTTAGCCGCATCCTCAGTATGACGGTGAAGAGAAAAGGAAGGAATCTGTAACATCGTTAGTCAGGAAAATTATACTTCACCGAAAGGGACATCGCGAAATGCTGGAAAAGCGTATCCGGAAACATCTGCTCACCCATTGTTCGCATCTTCTATCGAGCCCATCCGTAACTGCGATGGCAGATAATATGACCCCACCAGCTCGGAGTTGATCTTCCTTCCATGTTCCTGAACAACCAACTGTCATCAACTGTGGTGAGACTGGTTCGGGTCGATCCTTCAGCAGAAAAGGCTCGATTGTGGGTGCAGACTTACAGCTTGAGACAACAAAATATGTCTTAGGAAGTCAGCGATAATGGCGCACAACAAGTAACCGACGGGGAAAATGGTTGTGGTTGGAATTCTTGATATTTTCAGGGGCACAAATCGGAACTTGCCGGGGATCAGTGATCGCTCGCCACCAAGTTATCCGAACATTATTTTCCTTCCATCTCCACATTAGATTAACCGTACACACCTCTGGAAAACAACCGAAAGTTGGTAAAACATCAGACTCTGAAAAAGTATCGTCCTCATCGACCTCTTGCTTTTCACTGGCGAGGAACGCTACCGACGCTTAACCGGCAATGGACGAGCACGGGCTCTTCCTGAAATTCTCTGGTTTGAATCATTGTCACTTGTAGCCTGGGATGCTAATGGCCCTAAAATTCCCGTTTATCTCAACACTTGTTGCCTGGGCTACCAATAACTTAAAAACTTTTAACGTTTACTTTTGTTCACATCCCAGCAAGTCCTGCTTGCCTACCGCTCACCTGACCAACACCTAAATACCGTAAATACGGACCCCAGCTGCTGACGTCAACAGCATGTCTTCCACCGTCCTCGATCTCACCCTCTTCATCAAGTCGTCCGACCTCGACGTTTTTTGGTCTCACTTTGAACCATTGCACAAAAAATGCTGCGCTGAACCGGAGTGCACGCTCTTCGAAGTAGCTATCAGTCACGACAAGAGCGCTGGCGAGACAACTATCAAGCTTTTCGAGATATGGGCGTATTCAGTCGAACAGTTCCTTGAGGTAACTCATCGGAGTTTTATGCAACTATTTTCCTGATCGTGGCGTCCCTAGACACAAGTTAAGAAGCCGTACTATGAGCCCTACAACGCCGCCACCATTCCTCTGTATTCGAAGCCTCGTGAGTTTAACTCGGTTCGCTGATGTTTAGTAGTGCTTCACTGCCCAAAACTTTCAGGCATTGTGGAGCTCTATGAACTTGTAGGAAAATATTCCCGGAAGTGAAGAGGGTCTTCGTATCCCATTTGAACTTCATGTATATAACGTCACAAACGAGCGCGATTCAGACTCAGCAGGAGAACACAATACCGGGAAATCATGGAAAGCTTTCCCCCAGCATGTCGCTTGTGTTTGTAACCTCCGACGGTAAGTCCTGGTTATGTTCCGCTAAATTTCTGAGGCCTCGAAATGTCTGTTTCGGACGAATTTTGCCATACTACACGTGAAGGTAGTGGCGCCAGACCTTCTGTGGAATTCGTGTTGATCACGGTCAATTCAACTGGCTACGTTTCTTTCGTCCGTGATCTAATATGATCTTTTTTCATCCACCTTTGCTCGCCAAGCTACTCTGATTGGAAAAGATGCTATTAGGCTGTTTTACAGCTCCGGTACCTTCGATCTTCTGCCGCTATTAGTTGGTCTAACTAGCGCTGGTACAGAGACATGAGCTTGCTACGTTTTAGGGTCCTAGTAAGTTAAAGCTTTTCGCTGAACCAATGCATTATCTTATTATCTTTGAAAAGGTGTTTGACAAAAATGAATGGCGAAATCTTGATGCACGTTTCGTGTGTACTCGACCGTTCATTTTGAAAACGCCTGATGACGCCGGTAGCAGAAATCCCGGTGTTAATTGAGGAATGAATTGATGCAAAAATGGAGCGATATCAGCTTGAATGATGACAAAGATGGCATCACGTAGCGTCGTTCATTTGTGCTAAATGAGGTTGCTCACTACCCGCTAACCATAGTGATTCGCCAAGGAAGGACTCTTCCTTCCGAAAAGGAACGGATCAAGGATACTTATACATGAGACAAGGAGAAGAAACACCCTTTGCCTTGGAAACAAAGGTGGTTAGGAAAAGTATTTCAAACCTGCGTCTATTGGGGGATGATAAACTTGTTTTAGAGGATAATGCTTGATACGGATAATCCTGAATGTACAGGTTACAAGAAATATGAGGAATGAATTGGAATGCAGAGAGGAGCGATGTTCTTTGATGGTCCATTTGCAGTTCCGACCCGGACCGATTGATTCCGGATCTGTCCCGTTGGAAACGGAATTGTCACATGACGTCAGTGGGTATGTGTCTTTTTGCGAAACCGATCTGGTTAGAGACCTCCTTGACCATGGACCACGATGACACTCACACTCTCGCCAATAATTAAGCCCCAACCGCGCAGCCTCTCGCTGTCGCCCCGCTCGTTGTCGCCGTCGTCCATACCGTCGTCGCCATCGTCGGTGCACTCGTCGAGCTCGGCCATCTTTGAGCGTGACATCGAGCCCATTTCACCGCCCCTGCCACCAGCACATCAGAATCCTCATCGCATACCCCGTGCAAAGGCAACAGAGAGCTCCGTACCATCTGTCCTCGACTCAGCTGCCGCAATCCTGGTAGATTCGCATACAAGCGATGTCGATGTCGAAGTGCTCACTCCAGCTGCCAGCCCGCTGGTGAGCCGCAGTCCGTCTCCAAGGGCCTCGTTGCTGCTCACCACGTCATCATTGGGTCCGCCATCTCCCACGAGCATCGCCCGCGAGCTTTCTCCGGCTCCTTCCCCCAAGATTCTGACCAAGCGATTGTCGTTTTTGTCGTACAGTGATCTCCTTGCTTCCAATCCGACAAATACAGTGATGCTGTCTTCTTTGACCTTGGAACCGCCCACACCGCCTCACATCCTGACCTTGACGGACGGTGGCACCTTGAAAGGCTTCGATGAGTGGGAGAAAGAGGGGCTTGGTATGGGGCTGGAGGAAAGACTGGAAGCTGTCAGCGGGGCTACAAGTCCCATGTCGATCAGGAGCCGTCCTGTGAGTGTCGTGAGATGTTGAACGGTTTTCTATACCCCACGCTGCTGCTGTTATATTCGCCATTCCATCATCTTGTTCAAATCATGCCTTATCCCCTTCGCTTGGAATTCCGAGTATGTGCTCTCCTCTATCCTCTATTTATCTACATCGTGCCGCCAGTTATCTTATTATACGTGTATGTACCAACTACGAACCTGCCCTTTCTACGATACATAATGTACATGCATTCCTTTGTGAAGTGTTTATTCCTTCTTACCATTTTGTCTGTCTAGGTTAGGATTGTAAATACGTTGATTAATTGGGAAGATATCTACATTGAGATAGCAAACATATCTTGTAAACTCGGCAAGGCAGTTCAACTAGTAGTCACTCGAGGGAGAACAGAGCGGCGTTATGCGGAAGTTTGCAACCGAAGTATCAAAAAACGACGGTTCACACTGAGTATCGACGACAAAGTCATTGTTGTGATCATACAAGTTATAACTATGATACAAGTAGATCTGACCAGTAAAGTAAAGGAGCTATTAGAATAATCGTTGTACACTACAGCATCGATGTGTTCTCGGATACCATCAAACTTGGTCACCGTTGCTAGGCATTGCTATTTCCTCGGTAAGAGCTTCTCTAGTACGGTACTGTCTGGCCCAACGCAATAGAAGGGGCAGTGACTTGACTTTCGACCAACCACGTTTCGTCGGTTCATCGTCTCTCCGAACCGGTCGCACGTTGGGAGTCGTGCCAATGGACCTATGTCCGTCCGATGATCCGAGCTCTACATGATTTTGTTCGATGACAGCTTTGAGATCTGCAATATATTTGGCGAGGAACGAAGAGGGCGTGAAACCAGAGAAGTCCACTTCCTGAAGACTCCGCAAACACTGAGGCCAAACAGGGTCATTACGACGCAGGAGTCCGAGTTGACGAAGTGCAGTGGTGTTATCCTGAGTAAGTAGAACAGCGCAAGCTGTGTAAAGCGACCCTGGTTCATGGAGGTATTCCAAAGATCTCCGGCGTATCTGAGGATCCAATTTCCCGGACGACAGCCCGGCGACAAAGGCACCTACGATCTCTGATAGGCCCCAATTAGTAGTGGGGGTGGAGACAATGTAGGGGTTCTTAGTGAACGTGTCGAAGAGCCGCTTGTCAACAAAATAAGCAAAAGCCGCATTCGTGGTGGATGAATGCTCCAATAGAAATATGATAAGTTCAGCTGCTTCTGACGTGTAATGATGGGCATCGGCCAAGTATGCGACGCGCCCCCCCCGGGCCCGGTGTCAATAACCATGTATCATCCTGGAAAGCAATGGATGTGAATTTGGCAGCCAACTCGGCAGGAGAGCTATCTTCAGGAGGGCGAGGGGATGTGCAGTCGAGAATCCGAAAGAAAGCGATCAAGGCAGTACGCCGATCTTCAGCAAACATTGAATCACTGCCAACGCCGTACTCGTCCGATAAAACCAACGCGCGCAGTAGCCTTAGCACTGCGGAGCGATTGTTGTCAAGAGGAAAGGGGGACATATTGAACTCAGGTTGATGGATTTTGTATTCTTCGACACCCATGTAAACCATAATGTTCCGTAAGACTGCACTGAAAAGTGTTCCTAGAGAGGAATCAAGTGCGTTCATCCTGTGTATCGAAGGGGAACCTGCCATGCTCAAGAGAAAACGAACTCGGGGATCATCAGGTTCAGGGAGCTGAGATGTGGGATCATGATAGGATACACTATCCTGGACCTCAAAGTCATCACAGCCGTTGAGCAAGATATCGCCGACAGACGCGAAGAGGAAGTAGGTGATGGCTATGAAAATAGTCTCCGGACGGTCACCTGCGGAATCCATTGATATCGATAATCTATTCGATAGATAGAACCGGGGAGAAAGTTTAAAATCGGCACGCCAGTAGGTCGTCGGAAGTGCATGGAATAGAAGTTCATACACTTCCCGGTCGAAGGGCACGATCTTGGAAAGAAGACAGCCCCACACGATTGGTTGCAGGGGTAGACTCTGACTGGTTCGTAGATTAGCTACAATGAGGTGTCGGACTTTGTGGATGTCCGGAAAGGGATTAACAGCCAAAACCTCTGCATGAAGATCCGATGCGAACTGGTCCTCCCCTACTTGGACAAAGAGAGGCTCATACCGAAAGCGAAGCTGTGCACGGATACAGCGGTCCAGCTTTGTGTCAAGCAGAGCATTGCTTCGTTGGGCATCATCCAGAAGTTCTTGGAGTGTATTGGCGCAGACGCTCGGAAGCCCTTGTGCATAACATCGTACGGAAGTCACAGATCGGATTGGCAAAGCACCAGTTGATTCTACAACAATTCTTTGAACGCTAGGGTTCAATGACACAGAGAATAACCAGGACAAGGCACGCGCATCCGTTTCATCAGCATTTAGCCTAACAGCCTCATGCTCTGCTTCTCGAAGTGTACAAATCGTAGACTTTTCGGTAACTGAAGTGAAGAAACCGTTACAGGCGATGTGGGAATACAGAAGAAAAATGTACTGTGACAACGGTGTCTTGTATGGGCATGAGGGGTATACAATTGGCAGGAAGTTGGTGACGACGTATGCAGCGAAGGATATAAATGTGATAGTTCCAATGACGGATGCAATTGGCACTTGCAGCGGGACTAGAAAAATAACTAGACCCACTAAAAAGATGCAAAGCGATGCGCTCATCAGGACAGGTAGTAGTCCAATAATGAAGCCCACGCCCCACTGCTGTGTTCCCATGAATCGAAATTGACGTACACGGCATCTATCTCGAGGCGTGCCCGATGGTACTACCATGTACTGATGGATCCACTGTTTCGTCAGGACAGCAAACAGCGCCGTAGTCAGACTAAATGAGAGACTGGTGAACCATAATCCATTGACCAACGAATCAGAAATTGTAGGGTGAAATTCTGAGAATGGAGTGAGGCCTGAACGAGGGACGTTGTTCACGCTGGAACCATTGGCTGCTGCGCGCTGGACATCGATGAGCTCGAACAATAGCGACGCCGTGACTTGGCCATAATCAACTTGAAGGCTCTGAGACGTCTGGGCGACGAACGTGGTGACCACCGCAGAGAAAAGACCAGCCTATTCGTCCATTAACGAGGGGAAATTGGATTTATTAGTACTGTACTCACGAACACAAGCAAAACATCCAATCCATCCCTCCATCCTTCCGCCATCTCAGTGTCAAATCTCGCACATTCTTCGAGGTATGTTCTCCATACCCTCGCAATTGGTCCCAGCTCCTCGTACCGCTTGTCTTCGGGGAATTTTTGCTCATAGTCGAACGTGTCATTCCCTTTATTCTCAATGAGATATATAGAAAGTACAGTGATAGATCAACGTACCTCCAGCCTGGAATACACGTTGCTGCATGCCAAAGACACTACGAAGTAGCTTGCGCCATCGCGGCAAGGAATAGGCTGGCGAATTCTCATCCAAGGCAAGAGGCTGAGAATCAGCACCAGCAGCATCCGGTGACCCTTGAGGTTCATTGGGTGGTCCTTGCAGGATTTCATCGTTTCCGTCTTGTGCTGAATGGATGGACGGCATAGCTGTTGAGTGGTGGGAGGGAAAGAAGAGTGCAATAGGCGCCCACTGCGATGCCGAGCCTCTCCGATGAAATCCGTGATGACAGATGCCGCCAATGCGCCGAATATATATGCATCTATCAAAGTAGGTGGTAATAAGTTATAAACGAACTGAGTATACCAGACAAGACAGCTGCGTGTGACAGCGTGTCGTGTCAGCGCCGGGCAATGCAGGCAGTTCAAGGGCTGGCGTCGTGCAGGATGGTGCTTGGGTAGGGTGCACATCTACACAGCATGGGTCTGTCACCGTGGATGCGCCTGCACTCTACATAAGCTACTTGTTGGTATTCCATTGGATATCTATTGTAAAGTAAATGTACCTTTTAATCCACGACACCTTGATACCGCCACCAAGTCTGTCTTCATCCACAACGATAACGACCATCCCTCGTCGCCATAAACTGAGCTCTTGCGCTGCGTTTCGTGAGTGCAAAAGAGAGGATCGTCCTCGGCCACACTGCATTCCACACCAGGTGTGACCATCTTGCGGATACGGATGAGGATTCTGCCGCCGATGTTGGCGGGTATGCACACACTGTACATAGGCTACATGTTCTTGTTAGAACAGAATACCAATGGACAAAATTCGTGAACCGAACGCACCTTCAAATATGACCCGAACAGTACCACCACCTTCACTAACAACCAATACGAACCACTAACAGAGAGAAAAAATTCGCAATGCTCGTGAACTAAGTCGGTGCGCTACGCTTGCTAACTGTTGGCGTGACGTGTATGCTGTAAAAAACCAATCAGAAGGTTTACAGCCAGAAAATGTTATAGGACGAACCACAATTGAACAGGAAAAAAAGAGAACGAATTCTCATCGCACACTCCACTCTTGAGGGCTTCATGCTTCATTCTGCAGAGACGGCTGCGTCGAGATTCTCCCCGACTAGCATGCGGTGCCATGTTTCGCCACGCCTAACCTAAAACGGTGGTTGGCTCATATAGAAAAAAATACTATACAAAACATCTCAGAACGGGAAATCTAGAGGGAAAGAAATTCTAGGATTACCTGGGCTGTAGAGCTTGACGGCGGTGGTGTTGGTGGACGCTCCGCACGCTCGAAGTCTGCAAGCATGACAGTCACATGGCCAATGAGCAGTCCGTCGACTCCGGCCCGCACAACTAGCGAGAGCATACTAGGGTACCAGGGTTGAGAGTAAGGAAGCCGAGGTCAAAAGCGAAGGGGAGGAGGAAAGGGTGAAGTGGGAATGAAGCAGGAAGCCGGAGTTCGATCCCATCCGCAACGGCGGGGAGTTTCAAGTTGGAAAGGACCGGGAGAGAACACGAAGAGAGCATAACGAAGCAGACGTCGGACGTTGATCGGTTCTGAGTGACAACTTCGTTATTTCTGGCGAGCGGTCACGGTAAGTTCGACATACGGCGATTTTGGTTCAGATAATGATAGTCTATGCCCTCGTTTCCTGGGTAAACCTGTCAGCTCCAACTCGGAGATTGGAATGGGAAGAACAAACCTCAAATTCTTCGCTTGACTTGTAGTGATCAGATGCTCTGGATACCAGCTTCCGTGGCGTGTTATACTCTTTGTGTGCTCTGTGTGGTTTGATGTATCAAGTAAACGATAAACCAATGCTCTTGACGAACTTGAATAGAATTTGAGTCACTTCCGAAGAAACGGAAGCTGAATAATACGTACCGCTGCTCGATGTCTTCGAATCCCCGTGCTACTAGTCCCAGATTGGGAAACCAACCACTTAAACCAGGTGAAAATGACCTCGGAGCTAGGGAACTGGAGATCAGTTAAAAATTATGAGATCCATGTCAGAATACACACATTTCCGATTGCTATGACCCGTTTCCTTTGAATTGGTGGAGGAACATAAAAAGCCGAGAACACGACAGCTCTGCACTTGCAGATCCATTGACGAACGTCGTGCGGGAGACGATGTTGAAAGTGTAGTGATACGAGGAATCATTCACTTCTACATACCAGCCTGCGCAAATGTCCCCACGTTCGAAACTGGACGAAATTCGAATAACACCGGATTTAAGTGTTGTTGAAATTGTATGTAGAACGGAGACAGCAAGGTTCTGAAATTCAGAGTGAGCAAAACAACTTGACGTGTCATTTTGATGGGAACGTACGCGAGGCATGGGCGTTAATGGGCGTCTTGCCAGTGATATGCCAAAGTGGACTAGTGTTGGTTTTGCGTTCAAATGGGAGGGACCTGCTGCATATAGACCTTGAAGAATAACTTTGTAAGACAGAAAACAAATGCTAAGGTGAGGTTTAACACAATGTACTCTCAGAACCAGTTCAAGTTCACTCACCAGTAGTATCCCATTGAACACGACGCCGTAAAATAAACCCCATCCCCGAAAATGTACAAAAATATCGGTCTCGGTCTCGGTGATGTCGTCGACCGTTGTCGTGAAAGCGTCGAGAGGTGAGACTCGAGTAGAGCACCTTCAGCTGATAGCGAGTTGGTAGGTCAAACGAAGACTATCAGATGTCAAATAAGTAAATAGTGAGCTCTGAACAATGGAAGATGTTGTAAAATTGACCTGGAAACATGTAGCCGTTGCCGAGGTCTCCTGAATAGAATTCAACTGGGTATTCGGTTTGTTGAGTTCAGTGGCACCGAAGGATACATAAACCATTTGAAACATGGCATGGAAATCAAGGTCGTTCGAAAATCGGAAGATGCGGAGGAGGACAGCAGGTTATGCGAAACAAGCAGGGAGGGTCTTGGTAGCGAGCGCATAAGTGCCGGCGACTTAGATCGCGTCAACCACGTGCTCTTGTATTCCTTGCCGCCGGTAACACCAATCACCACCACCATCGCCCACCACCATCGCTACTCTCAACGACATAGAGGGAGTACATGTGATGACAGGATGAGCAGGGAATGGTAAGTACTCATTCTTTGCTCATTTTCATGATACCTACTGGGGCTTTCCCACAGCGCAATCCATTGTTTCGGGATCATATTAATTACACGACGACGTTTCGATATAACACCTGCCCTTGACTTCGACTAATGGGTATTAAGCACGAGGAGTCGAGGATAGCATTACTGGAGGAGATTCGGTTCTGACGGTGCTTCGCTCACCGGCAAGCTTTCTGTGACGCCGAACAATCAGCCTCTCGCTGCCTCCACCCCTTCTCAGAACCTCGTTTCTTCCCTTGGATTAGGGTTTGCACACCTCCTGCACATACCACCTGCGCACATTTACATCCGTGCTCCATTACGTTCGTCTCCGCACACACCAACCTGAGGGTGTTCTCTTTCTCCTCAGCATTCAGAGGAACTCGCTCTTCAAAGAGTCCAACCTTCTTCTGATCAACGCGACAACCTTCCCAGTAGCGTGCCACGATCCATCATGAAGGAGGATCTAATTGTTCAGGCGGTGGCGGGACTAATGGGCATCGTTAGGGGCGGGAATGGCAACTGCTGTCGCTTCGCCTAGCTTCACATCCGCGTATCCCTTCACCATCCCCGACATGATGATGCACATGCATTATTGCTTCAGAGGGTATGCTGCTCATGTCGGCAACAACACGACCGCGCACAACCAAAACTTCTTCAGCGTTGCTCGAGGAAATCAGGTGCTGACACCGTGTCGTTCACTCAGAACAGACACGGAGAATGTGGTCCATGCCGTGTATCCCAGGCTATGGCTTGTGCCCAAGGGGTGATGGAAGATGGAAGTGGCTGCAGAAGAAAGGAAACGGCATATATGCGTAGATGGTAAGTCCCTCCCATGCAGCCTATGTACGTCGCTCGTTGCTTACCCCATCGTTCATCGTTAGCTGGATCTCCTTCACTCCCATCTGTGCGAGATCGTCAACCTACGAGCGAAAGCCACCACCTCCCAGTACGAGGATAGCATTACCGGAGGATTATTTCACGCCAACGTCTTGTCGCATCCCAGGGACCATCGTCTCTGGGCAGAAATGTATGCTACTGGAAAATGAGAATCGCGAGCTGCACGCTCATCTCAAGATCTCAGGGGTGGCAAGTTCTCTGTCCCCTCCTGCGTTCAGAATTTCCACACTGGCAGCATGATTTTGATCTGCGACGACCCTCCCTTCACCTCCCTCCCTCCCTATTCCTTCCTCCACTTCATTGAACACGGCTACAGCACGTTCTCTTTATTTTCGCTTGTCTTCGATGCCTTTCTGTCGCAAGAAGAGTCATGAGCGTTGATGCCCATATCGGGATCAACGACATTGATCAACCGCGCGTGACTTCTTTCCTCCTACCACCACCACAGTGAGTTTTATTCCTTTTCATTTTGTGTTCTTATGCTCATGTCCGAATTTAGAGTCCTGTTAGCAGCACAAAACTATGGTACGTGTTCTTAGTTTGTGCCTTGGCTGAATCCTTAATACTCTAGACGGCCTCAAGCCTCGAATTTTCGTGACGGACGACATACGACGCGATGTTAATATCGTTTCCTTACCTCTAGGTCTCCTGAAGATATCAAGTCACGTAGAGTTCGAGGAGCAGAGCGTGTTTACGTTACCAAGGTGAGTCTTGGTCTACAGCTACCAGTTCCAGGACTGAACTAATGGTCAATTCAGTGGCCGTCACTACTTTCTTCAAGGCCAGGGTTTTGAACCTGTCGAACAGAAATCAGCACGGTGATTTCCCCGTGACGACGTATCGCCATCCGGCGAGCGAGGTAAGTCTTCGATTAAGTCAATGACTTGGTATCATAACTAACATTGGCTTGAAGCTTCCGAACTTCAACCAACCCCAGGATTGCCTTAAGACGACGTATTTCCGTCCGCCGGGGCCAGGTAAGTCTGCACTAAACTGCCATTAGCACTGATCTTGCCTTGAAGCCAAATCAAACTGAGGCCAGGATTGCGCCGAGACGATGTATCTTTGGCTGGCGACAATCTCATTTCCCATCCTTACTAACGCCTTTCTCTAGTATCTGAGCTTGAGCATGTGCCACGAAGACTTCGAGTACATGTATCGGCTTCCGGCGAGCGAGGTAAGTTGTTTTGTAGGAAATTTCTCATTGATGTTGACCTCATCCTTTTCACAGGGACAAAAGTGGATTTCCCAGAGTGCGAACCTTGCAGAGCCGAAAGCTAGATTTGGAGCTGCCCACCAAGCTTTTCCGGCTATTCTCGGTTCTGAGTCAATGTCAGATTTTCACGGTAAGTTGTTATTTGCGTATTTTTGATATCGCCGTGCTAAATGTTTACATATTCTAGGTTCGAGTTCGACCTCGATATCTTCGAGACTGAAACCCTGCCTAGTCAACATCACGCGTCAAGGAAATAAAGTTAAACGTAAGTTTGCGTTGTTTTCTGTGATTTTTGCTCGAATTTCAAGCTGATTTTCTTGTAGGACCGGCCAGAAATCAGCGGAATGCGACCGCAAAGCCAAGTCGTCCTCGACGCCAACCAGGTACACATTCTACTCGTGATCGGCAAAAGTGATGGCCGATGCCTTATTTGGTGCAGCATGGTACTCAGGTCCGTGATCACAAAAAATTCTAATTGTGCCTATCTACCGTCGCCATTGTTCCAAATATACCAACTATCCATCCTCTAAAACCGTGTGTGACCTCCCTTTGCCTTGAGAACAGCCTCGACCCGATCTGACATGGACTCAATATGCTTATCAATATCCATTAAGGACATTGAGGCCCACTCTTGCAAAACCGCCTCTCGCAGTGCCTTGGTGCTTGTCGGATGCCTTGGGAGTGCACGGAGACGCTTCTTGAGCTCATGCCAGACTGGTTCGATGGGGTTGATATCAGGAGAATTTGGTGGATGAGGAAAGAGAGGGATGTCATTTTGCGCAAGCCAGCGTTTGGTGGTCTTGGCTGTATGACTTGGTGCGCCATCTTGCTGGAAGGCAAGTCCTGGCCAGGCTTCCTCCAAATCCTTCCAAAACACCTTCAACTGACCCTCTAGCACTTGCTCCTGATAGCGAGCTGCTGTCATTCCTCCACCTTTTCCACCAGGATACTCAAGAACAGCTAACGGCCCCTTCCACCCCAATGCGACACATCCCCACACCATTACACGCATGGAAGACTGCTTAAATGTTGGCACTACACAGCTCTCATCCAACTCTTCATCAACACGCCGTGTCACAAAAATCCGACCTGTCTTATCATCGAGATGGATGTAACATTCATCTGACCAAACCACCTTCCTCCAATCCTGCTCCTTGTGATCCTTTGCCCATTGTTTTCGTGCCTTCTTTTGGTCTGCAGAGAGAAAGGGTCGTTTCCATGCAACACGTCGATGCAGTCCGTGGTCCTCCAAGGCCTTGGCAATAACCTTCTCACTCACATCAATACCAACTTCATTACTGAGGTCTCTAAGTGGCAGTCGGCGGTTTTTTACAGCTGCACGGGCAAGACGACGTGATGTACGCTCATCAATCTTCTTCGGCCATCCACTACGGGGTAGATTTTCGATGGAACCATGCTCCCTGTACTTCCGCCAGATTTTTTGTGCCGTCTCATATGGAATGCCAGTGAGAAGGGCACTTTCATTTAATTTGTGTGTAGCAAGCATAGCACCAATGAACTGGTTTTTTGCTGCCTCATCATGTTCGTGTCGCATTGTGTCTTTGGGCATCAGAAAAAGAAGCAGAATGACATTAGCGAAGTAGCACAAATGAAAAAAAATAATGATCAGCCGTGTCCATATTTAGTAGCAGCCATCACTTTTGCCAATCACGAGTACATTTAACTCATGGTTTTGCAGTTTTCGAATCAGCACGAATTCCGAGTACAAACTCTCGTGGGGCCAACCTTGGCACGGAAACCTCAGTTTGCGGGCAACATTCGACGGTGGAGGTGCATCTCACCGCGCGGAGTGCAGGCACGTGGGAAGGATTCAGGGATGGTTTCTGATTGAAGAGGCGGACTAAGACAAGCCTGGAGAAGTCCCGGGGAATGATGGTGGGGTCCCAGTATAATGAATAGCCATCTTGGTTAAGTCCCAAGACTGGCTTTTTTTTTCTGAATCCTGCAAGGGAGGAAACTGAGGGTGTAATTATGTTTGAGTGTAGTAGATATGTAATTAAGAGTGGTGGACTGTTTGCATGCTAAATATTAAAACGAAAGACTGCTCCGAGCCTCGATGACAAACTTATTATCGTGATCATCTAAGTCCTGATACAAGTAGCTCTATCCAGTAAAGTACGGGAGCTATCACAATGATCATTGTACACTACAGAATTGGTGTGTTCTCGTTGCCATCAAACTTGGTCACCATTGCTAGACATTGCTACTCGGGAAGAGCTTCTCTAGTACGGAGTTGCCTGACCCAACGCAATAGAAAGGGAAGTGACTTCACTTTTGACCAAGCACTTTTCATCGGTTCATTGTCTCCCTGAACCAGTCGCATGTGAGGACTCGTGCCTGTCCGTTCTGAGCTCTACACGATTTCGTTTTATGTAAGCCTCGAGATCTGCAATGTGCTGGGCCACGGTGCGAGGATTGAATGCTGATTTAGTGGGCCCTTGAAGACGCTGCGCCACATGATGACGCTGCACCACCCCTTGAAGACTCTGCGCCTCCTCCTGAAGACTCTGCAAACATTGAGACCAAACAGTGTCATCATGATGCAAAAGTACAAGTTGATGAAGTGCAGTGATGTTATCCATAACAAGAAGAACAGCGCAAGCTGTGTGGAGGGACTTCGGTTTGTGGAGGTATTCCAAAGATCTCTGGCGTACCTGAGGATCCAATTTCCCAGACGACAGCCCGGCGACAAAGGCACCTATGATCTCTGATAGGCCCCACATAGTGGTGGGGACGGAGACAGTGTTAGAGTTCTTAGTGAAAGAGTCGAATAGCCGCTTGTTAACAAAATGATCAAAAGCCACATTCATGGTGCGTGAATGCTCAAATAGAAAAATGACGAGTTCAGCTGCTTCTGTGGTGGTATCGTTTGGAGCATATGATAACCATGTATCATCCTGGAAAGCAACGGACAAGAATTTGGCAGTCAACTTGGCAGGAAAGTTATATTCAGGAGGGCGAGGGGATATGCAGTTGAGAACCCGAAGGAAAGCGATCAAGGTGAGACGCCGATCTTGAGCAAACATTAAATCGCTGCTAACACCACTGTCATCTGATGAAACCAACTGGTATACCAGCTTTAGTACGGCGGAGCGATCACTGTCAAGGAGAATGGGGACCATGCCACCTTGGGGTCGATGGATTCTGTAGTTTTCAAGACCCATGTAAGCCATAATCCCCCGCAGGATGGTGCTGAAAAGTGTTCCCCGAGAGGAATCAAGTGCACTTGTCCTGTATGTCAAAGGGGAATCTGCCATGGTCAAGAGAAAATAAAGTCGATGATCGTTGGATGTAGGTTGCTGAGATGTGGGAGGAGAAGAGGATACAATAGCTGAGACTTTAAAATCAGCAGGGGGATTCAGCAAGATATTGCCGATGGACACGAACAGGGATTCGGAGATGGCTGTGGCAAGAGTCTGTGGACGGTCACCTGTGGGTATCACTGACATCGGTAATGAATTATATGGATAGATCTGCAGAGGACGTTCAAAATCAGCATGCCAGTAGGTCATCGGAAGTGTATGAACCATAAGTTCATACACTTCACGGTCAAAGGGTAGGATCTTGGAAAGAAGACGACCCCATACTATGGGTTGCAGGCGTAGACTCTGACTGCCTGGAGGGGTTCGTAGATGATCTACAATGATGTCTTGGACTTGTCAATGGTCCATGTATGTTTTAGCAGCCAAAACCTCTGCACAAAGATCCGGTGCCAATTGGCCCTGCCCCTTATACTCTGGGATCAAGGCACCCGGAACCTGGAAACGAAGGTGTGCACATATACAGCGGTCCAGTTTGCTTGTGTCAACAACAGCATTGCTTCGTCGAGTGCCATCCAGAAGTTCTCGAAGTGTATAGGTGCAGAATTTCGGAAGCCCTTCTGCATAACGTTGTACAGAGGCCACAGACCGGATCGGTAAAGCACTGGTTGATTCTACAATGGTCCTTTGAACACTAGGGTTTGATGAGATGGAGAACAACCAGGACAAGGCCCGCGCGTCTATTGCATCAGCATTCAGCTTAATAGCCTCACACTCTGCTTCTTGAAGTGTACAAATCGGGGCCTTTTTGGAAACTGGTGAGGTCCCAGACCAGTATCTGGAAATCAGAGAGATGACTGGAGTGAAGATGCTGCTATGGGCAATGTAGGAGTACAGAAGGAAAATGTACTGTGACAACGGCGTCTTGTACAGGCATGAGAGGTATATGATGGGGAGGAAGTTGGTGATGAAGTATGCAGCAAAGGATATGAATGTAATAGTCCCAACAACAAATGCAATCGACTTTTGCAGCGGGACTAGAAAAACAACTAGGCCGACTAGAAAGATGCAAAGCGATGCGCTCATCAAGACAGGTAGTAGTCCGATAATGAAGCCCACGTCCCACTGCTGTAGCCCCATGTATCGGAACTGACGTACGCAACATCTATCTTGAGGCATGCCTGATGGAATCGACATGTACTGATGGATCCATTGTTTCGTCAGTACAGCAAAGAGGGCGGTAGTCAGGCTGAATGAGAGACTGGTGAACCATAGTCCGTTGACCAACAGATCGGAAGTTGTAGGATGAAATTCTGAGAATGGAGTGAAGCCTGAACGAGGAATGTCATTCACGCTGGAACCATTGGCTGCTGCACGCTGGACATCAATGAGCTCGAACAATAGCGATGCCGTGACTTGTCCATAGTTGACTTGAAGTCTCTGGGACGTCTGTGCGACAAGCGCAGTGACCATGGCAGAGAAAAGACCAGCCTATCCATACATTAAAGAGGGCAAATTAGAGTTATTAGTATTCGTACTCACGAAAACCAGCAGAACACCCAATCTGTCCCTCCATCCCTCCACCGTCCCAGCATCAAATCGTGCACATTCTTCGATGTATGTTCTCCATACCCTTGCAAATGGACCCAGCTCCTCATACTGCTTGTCTTCGGGGAATTTTTGCTCATAGTCGAAGGTGTCATTCCCTTTACTCTCAATGAGATATATGGAAAGTACAAGGATAGATCAACACACCTCCAGCCTGGGATACACGTTGCTGCATGCCAAATACACTGTGAAATAACTGGCGCCATTGCGACACGGAATAGGCTGGCGAATTCTCATCCAAGGCCAGAGGCTGAGAATCAGCAGCAGCAGCAGCATCCAGTAACTCTCAGTTGCCTTGAGGTTCATAAGGCGGTCCTTGCGAGATTTCGTCATTTCTGTCTTGTGCTGCATGGATGGAAGCCATAGCTGTTAGGTGGTGAGAGGGAACTGTGACTGTCCCTCCTATGTGGCAAGCCGACGATAGACGCGATAGACACGTGGTAGTCATGGGAAAAGAAAAATGATCTCATCTCGGAAAGCCGATCCGTTTTTGCCGTTGATGGTTTTCACTCCACCGCTCAATCCACTGGCATGCTAATATCATTAAATACTTTCATCCACTTTCGCTGCAATGTCGAACTGTATTGAGGGCATGAAGCCGGGAATGAATGCACTCTGTTCGTATATACGTGCATTAAACTGTCTTTTGTGCAGCCGCGACGACTCGTCAATTTTCCCAACGACCTCTTCACACATCAAGGTGGTGAGGAGCTGCCAAAAGGTGGCAATAATGGCAGAGAGAGGCCGGAGAAGTTTGAAAGATGCATGTGCAATCCGAAGGTATGTATGTAGTCATTTTGCCTCATCTCGCCAAGGGAGAAGTTCACATACAGTTTACACAAGGTTCTACTCGTATTCCACATACTTCTTTCATTTCGATATACGTAGTGTCTGGGACTACTATCAGTCAACGAGCGATGATGGATACCTCCTCTGAGAGTATAAAGTTCGCCTGAGGAGCGCACGTCCCATGCAGACTTCAAGCGTTCCAGATTGCATGTTTCTGCACACTGGCGTCCAAGAACATCTTTGGGGCTGGAAATGGAGGTCGTCGCACTGTATTGTGACATTCGTAATATGGCTAGGTAAAGTTTGTATCTTATATCTCAGAACGAGCTGACATCTTGTACCAATACTAGGTATTATTGTAGACAGTCTATCACTCGCTTTGTGTATACCCGTTGTCCCATTCCAGTTGAAGGCACTCGGTTATACAGATGCAGCTTCTCTGACGGGATGGCTTTTTTTTGCATATGTATGACCCTGTTCGTCCTCTGTTGCCGATTTTGATGCTTACTTGCTCCCAGGGTGGAAGCAATGTCATAAGTACATTTTCTGCAAACTTTCGCTTGTGGCCCGACTAGAAGTGCTGCTTTTTACAGCCTCTGCGCTCATTGTTATCTGGTCTGAAGCATACGACACACGAAAGCTTCCGTATTCTATTGGTATATTGTCGCTTATTGTTTCCCAAATCATGTTCATGGAGGCTCCTTCTTACTGGGTCATGTGTCTTGCGCGGTGTCTTCAGGGCGCAGCAAGTGCGGCAAGGATGGTTATTGGTCCGGCAGCTATGTAAGCTATAGTACCCTGAGATTGTGTCCCCACTTACCCCTTACCCCCTCAGGTGCGATCAAAGTCCTTCTAAAGTTGTCAGTAGGTCGCTTACACTGGTCTTTTGCTTAGTTCTCATCGTTTGACTGCAGGGCAACTGGGCATTGCATTGTCGGGCGCTCCTGTTGGGTGCGAATATCCCCTTTCTTCTTTTTAAATGAAGCATCGAGTATTTTTAGTCTGCTTCTTGGAACCCCAATAGCCGGACTGCTATACACCCATTTCGGTTTTCGCGGGCCCTTTGTTTTTAGCTCTATAGCCGCCTTGCCTATCCTGGCTCTCTGGCTTCTCATCATCCCAGTCAGATATGCGTCCGCGCCGCTGTGTTTTGCTGATAGGTCGGATGAGATCCCGTTGGAAAGTGAGAGAGAAGGAAGAACTACTGCTTCCTCAGGCGAAGTGCAGAATAAGGCCTCGCCTGTGAAGGTTCTCCATCTCATGCTCCAGTCGCCCCGTATAGTTGCAGGGATGTGTCTCGCGTTTATCCATGGGTTTGCACCTTACTTTCTATCGCTTACTGTCCCTGAACGCATTTCATAGCATGCTAGATAATTTTATGCAACCCATCGTGCCGTCTCACCTGAACAGCGTCTGGGGCCTCAATGTTTCTCAAGTCGGCCTTGTCTTCTTGGCTCCTACCATTTCTGGTTTTATTGGTACGTCAATACGTATCCCTTCTGGAAGTACAAATTCACTGATCCATCTGTAGCTGTACTTCTTTCTGGCTGGCTTGCAGACCGTCGAGGTGTTTCTGTAGTTATTGTAATCACCTCGGCCTTGGCTATCCCATGGTTTGTAATCCTGAGCATAGCTAGGTACTTGTCATTCTTCATTGTTGTGTACTTTTGCGCGTGTAAGTGGTCAAATTCGTTCATTTCAGCTCCTCTAATAGGTGATCTTCTAGTCTTTTTCGGCTCTGGAGTCTTATCGCCGATATTAGCCGAGTTTGCGTCTACTTCACGAAGCATTGATGGTGTTGGCTGTAAGTGGTTCATAGGCTATTTTCTCGTGGTACTAAGTCCCATCGATCAAGACGTTCATGTTTATGGGGCTCTGTATTAGGCTTTTAGGATTGGACTGACAGGTTTGTCACCTGCGCAGCGCTAAATCTTGTTGACTTACTCCATATCTAGCTGGACCTGTTTTGACTGATCAGGTAGGTGCATATGTCCTAGAGGATAAGCAATTCACTGACGTGCCGACTACTTAGATGTACGATAACCTCGCCGATGGATGGATGGATATCTGTTTAATGGCGGCCGGACTACATGTATGTGGCATGGTAATGACTTTCTTCTACATAGGAGAGAAACCCATCACGCGAAGCTCCTTCCGGCGTATCAGACATTTAGCATCGTAGGTCCGCACATACAGTCCACGTATGAGGAACGAGACGGCATAGCCCAATCCGAGTTTTGGCTACAGATTCAGGATTCCCAGTCAGATACCCGCAATTTGGCGAAAGAGCAAGGTGCACGAAACGGTCAACAGTATTAAGCGAGCATTTTTGCTGCCAAAGTTCAAACACCTGCGGCTGGTAAGGTGGGCTCTCTGCTATCGTTCGAGGGTGAAAGATGTTATAGGGCGGCCAGGAGTGTTCTTTTTTTTGGCACAATATGAATCTTACATCCCTCGTCGATCCACTGCTAGTTCATACTACTCCGAATACGAAGGCTGGGGAGGGAAGTCGGAACTGCCCATGGGCAACCCGAAGGTGCGTATGTAGTCGTATTGATAAGAAGGAACCTCACATACATTTTTTCTAAGGTTCTACTCGCTTGGCAGCCATCTAAGCCTGGTTTCGGTTATCATTTTTGTATTTACACTGTTAGCTTGTGGGTCTAGCGCCTTCGTACATTGAGCCTGACTGTTGACATCGGCGCTTCTTTTATCTAGGGCGACATAACATCTGGGACTGCTATTCAGTTAACGGACGTAAAACGTACCTACCGTAGGGGGTATAAAGGTTCCCTGAAGGCTGCACATCCCATACGAACTTCAAGCCTTTCAACCGCATGTTTCCTAGCGCCGACCACGGAGAAGCCGAAGAGTACCTTTGGGGTTGGAAATGGAGGTCGTCGTACTGGTTCATAACGTTTGTGATATGCTAGGTGCAGTCTTTATCGCATCTCTGAATGTGAGCTCACGTTTTGTTACAACACAGGCTCCGTCGTAGACGTTCTTACTTTTGCTTTGAGTATACCCGTGGTCCCTTTCCAGCTCAAGGCCCTCGGTTACAAGGACGTCGCTTCTCTGAATGGGTGGCTTCTTTTCGCATATGTATGACCCTTTTCCTTTCTTTATTAGCTAAGCCTGATTTGAACCTGTTGCTAGAGTGCAGGCGGTATCATAGGTACGTTGTCACTAACTTTTGCAAGTGATCTGACTGGAAATACTGATTTTACAGCTTCTGTTCCCGTTGCTCTATGGTCTGGAGCGTACAACACGCAAAGGCTTCCCTACGTTACCGGTGTCTTGATGCTCATAGTTTCCCAAATCATGTTCATGGAGGCGCCTTCTTACTGTTAGCCACTAACTCTAATCGACTTAGATCAACCTAGGATCGCCACTCGCACTTCGGTGGACGATACGCTGGGAGGTCAAAGGGAATGATAGAGAGCCAGCGACGAACTAGATAGTTCGCGAAGTCGTGAGCTTTGAGGTTAGGTAGATTAAACCTTAGCCGAAGCTGGGGTTCAGACCAGCCGAGGCTCTACTTAAATACACGTTGAGTAGACTAAAAATAGTACTGTGAGAATGTCTGATCAGAACCGCAGCATAGGATAAGCATGAATGCGTAAGAAAAGAAAAAGATAAGAATAAACCATAACATTACCCCCTCTCTAAGACTCGTTCATCCCGAATGAGTCCTCGGTCTCCTCTCCACTTTGTTCCGACTGACTGTAAAAGGATAAGACGCTATCATCATCGTTGTCATCATCTTCGCTATTGAAGTCCCAATTTTCGTAGATTCGTTGTAAGTTTTCAAGGTCTAGCTCGGAGTCTTCATCGTCTGAGGTTTCTTTTACCAACGGTATTCCCTTTGCTTCCTCTGCAGTAACTTCGCGCAGCGCCATCGACGACTGTGAGTCGGAGTGTCTTGGATTGGTGCATTCCGAGGAGTAAACGGTTTCGATGTCCGTGACGCATGGGGTATCTGGATTGTGATAGACCATCCCAACGCCCGGGGGTATTTTGTCGTCTCTCCCGACCATTTTTCCATGTTTGTCAACCTCCCAATGAATCCTTTGGAGGTGTGCTTCGTACTCGTTTACGAGTTCTTCTGCGTTGGCCATGTCTGAGCATTTGACCCAGGAGTTCTCCTCCCTCGGATATCCTTTCCACTTTACGAGATATTCGGTTATGGTATGACGGGTTCGTCCACGACCTATGTTTTTGTCTCGTTGCTCTACGATTTCCTCAATCTCGTACTCCTCTTCATCGTCGATTAACTCTGGAGGTGGTCGTTCGGGGCGTGGTTGATTCGGAAAAACAGGAGCCACGTAAGGGGTTAGGAGCGATTCATTAAAACGGTTGTGAATTTTCCACTTGACCGGTAATTTTAGCTCATAAGCTGAGGCCCCCTTTTTTGCAACGATAGTGAAGGGCCCCACCCGACGGTCCCCGAGCTTCTTCGTAGGGTGAGGGAGACTTAGGTTGGTTGTGTCTAACCATACCTTGTCCCCTGGCTGATATTCCATGGCCTGGCCTTTGCACTTATCGTAAGCCTTTTTCATCGACTCCGCTGCTTTTTCTAGGGATATTTTCGTCTCCTTCTGCGCTTTCTCGATCTCCGTTACCAACTTTGCTGCCGCTGGGACTATGGTCGGTTTTCGTGATGTGGTGATGACCTGTCCATCTCTCCCAAACACTACCTTGTATGGGGAGTACCCAGTAGACGAATGTTGGCGATTATTGTGGGTGAAGGCTGCTAAGGGCAACCACTCACTCCAGTCATCCTGTCGATCATTGACAAACATCTTTAGGTATTTCTCAATCTCCTGATTTACCCTTTCCGTCTGCCCATCCGTCTGTGGGTGGTACGCGGTGGAGGGGTTCCCTTCGACGTGAATGAGGGTATAAAACTCCTTCATGAACTTGGAGACGAAGATGGAACTGCGATCCGAGATGACCTTTTCGGGCATTACTCCATAGGGTACATAGACGTAGTCCCTCAAGATTTTGGCGAATCCGAGGGAAGTGAGCTCTTCAGTACACGCGATGGGGATGATGGTCTTGGAGAAGCGATCGACGATGACCAAGATGGAGTCAAAACCCTTTGAATTTGGTAGTTTAGTGATCATATCTACCGAAATGTGGGTCCAGGGGCGAACTGGGACCTCATTAGGATGCAGGGGTGCTTTCTTGGGACGACGGTCCGCCTTGGTGCGTTGACAGGTATCGCAACCTTTCACATAGGCTTCCACGTCTCTACGTATCCATGGCCACCAGTAATCTCGGAGTATTAGCTCCTTGGTCTTCTCAACACCCGGATGTCCAGCAGTGGCGTGATCATGCTTAAGGGCAATGATCTGTCCTCGTAGTTCCCGGTCGGCAGGTACATAGATTCGTCCGTCATACCATAAAAGGTCTTGATTGCGAGAAATGCCTTTTTCATGGTTTAAGGAGTCTGAGATTCCCCTGTCCCAATGACGAGGATCGTGGGTCGCCACTTTGATCCGCTCATGTAATTCCTCGGCGGTGGGCATGATTAGGGCTCGGAAATGCTCGGGTTTGAGTACTACCATGTCTCGGTTGTCTTCTTTGCCCTGATCGTGGTCCGCCCTTCTCGACAGGAGATCCGCCTTGCGATTCTGGGCCCCAGGTTTGTGATGTAAGGTGAATTGGTATTCCTCCAACTCCGTTACCCACCGCGCCTGTCGGCGGTTGAGCTTCTGGGGTTTGCGGAAATACTGAAGATTGGAATGGTCCGTCCAAATCTCAAAATCCTCCCTTGCTCCCATGAGATACTGGCGCCACTCCTCCAGAGCGATCATGATGGCCAGGAGTTCCTTGTCATAGATCTCGTAGTTTCGTTCGGTAGCCGAGAGCGCCTTGGAAAGGAAGGCTACTGGCCGCCATTTCTCGTCCTGCCATTGCGAGAGTACCGCACCGACTGCCCCTTCACTAGAATCTGCCTCCACTCGAAATCGTCCTTCGTCTAATGGAATAGCGAGTACCACATCCTCGCGGAACAGCTCCTTGAGTTTGTCAAACGCCCTTTGCTGAGCTTCCCCCCACCTCCACTCCTGTTTCCCGGTGAGTGAAGTGAGCGGTTTGACATGCTTACTATAGTCACGAATAAATCGCCGGTAGAAGTTGCAAAACCCGAGGAAGGACTGTAGTTCTTGTTTCCGACGGGGGACAGGCCATTCGAGTAACCCGGCAATTTTTACTGGATCCATGCGTATCTTTCCTTCGCTGATAATGACCCCTAAATACTCGGTCTCCTCCACTTCGAATTCACACTTCTCCACTTTGAGGAACAACTTGTTTTCGCGGAGAACCTGCAGCACCTTGCGTACTATGCGTCGATGCTCTGCCTTGGTCTTCGAGGCGATAAGGATGTCATCCAGATAGACCAACACCTCACCAGCCGCTATGAGATCCTTGAAAATATCGTTCATCATCCACTGAAATGTAGCGGGGGAGTTCGTAAGCCCGAAGAACATCACCAGGGGTTCGTAGAGCCCACGATTGGTTCGAAAGGCGGCTTTCCACTCGTCCCCTTGCTTAACCCTCACATTGTTGTAGCCCCAGCGCACGTCCAGCTTGGTGAAGTACTTGGCCTTCTTCAACCGGTCCATCAATTCTCCTATAAGCGGCAGCGGATAACGATTCTTGATGGTCATCTCGTTTAGCTTGCGGTAGTCCTGGACGGGACGCAACTTGCCATCCTTCTTTTTAACAAAGAAGAACGGGGAAGCCATAGGAGACTTCGAGGGTCGAATTCGGCCGGTGGACAGGTTCTCGTCTAAGAACTTGTCTAATTCCTCCTGCTCATCGTGGTTAAGAGGGTAGACTTTACAGTCTAAATTGGCGTTGGCATTGGGGATTAGCTCAATAGCATGATCCCAAGGTTTACGAGGCGGTAATTCATCGAAATTTTCTTTGTCGAAGACGTCCTTGAACTCCCGATATTCCTTGGGCACTATTTCTTCGAAAGTCTTAGCAACCTTTTTGGCGTGGGCTTGGGCTGCCAACTCGTTGGACCTCGTCCCCATAGCCCGTACATGAAAAGCCTCTTCAAAGTCTATTACTAGGATGGTATCCCCTTCTTCATACTTGTCCCAGCGCGCTGAGGGATCGGTGTCGGGGAGGGAAAAGGGGATTTTTCTGCACATGCACCGGGCCAAGGTA